AGGGTTTAAGTTTAGGGTTTCGGGGGTTCAGGGTAAAGAGGCTGGAGCTCTAAGCCCTGGATGAGATAAGCCCCACGTTGCTCCGAGTGCCGGACCCTACTGCGAGGTGGTTCTTAAATCCAAAGTCCGGCTTTGGTAAAAGAAGCAGCTTGGGCTGACGGTTGAAGGATTCCTAGGGATAAAGTTTAAGTTGAGGGGTCCATCCCTCCTTGTCAGCTCAGAACTGGTATAAATCTTGCACTCTGCTGATCCCCAGAATCGTCCAAGTCTGATATCCCCATGGACGAGTGTGGTAACCCTCTGAATGTCCGTGTGCGTTCGGGCGCCATGTTGCCTGAATCATGGCAGGGCTCTGTCGAGCAGCACAGCACGGACTTCGAAGATGTAGCGGGATCCGGGCGACAGCTCCAGCCTCGTTGCTCTTTAGGCGGGTTTAGGGTTTAGGGTTTAGTTAAAGCTGTTTCTGGACTTTAGGACTGTAGGATGCTTCTCAAACTTGAGAGGGGTGCAGCTGCTGCACGCGTTGCGTCATCGTGCTGGGCTCCGCATTTTCCGGTGCTCAGGACACTCTGGTGCTCAGGAACTCCAGTCAGCGGGGCTCTTCGGGCTCAAACAGCCATTAGGGACAATGCGTGCAGCTGAAACACCGACTGAGACCCTGAAGCAACGCCTCAGACGCTGCAGAGCCAAGAGGCTGAGCAGCGCCCTTGCTGCAGATCCACCTCGGGAGGGTCGGGGGGTTGGGGGGTCCGAAGCCTCACTTGGTAGCCCAGTAGCCATATGACCATAAGGGCACCCTTTTTTGGTTTGGTGTAACCTTGAACCAAAAAAAAAGAAAAGGGCACCACTGGGCCACCAAGCTCATGAAACAGCCTCCCCACGCACTCTGGCCTTCGCTCCTCTTGGACTTCCACGCCTCCGTCAGGGACCTGCCTTGGCATCGAACCAACCACAAGGGGTTTATGGGCTTACGGCTATAGGGTTCATTCAATTAACCCCTTGGGGGGGAAGGGGGGGGGGAGGGGTGCATCTCTGGTGGCTCTTGCCGGGAATGGGATTCAGGACTTCAGGGCTGGCGGTTGGGATAAACACCTGGCGCCTCGTGCAAAACTGGGCCTCGAGACTTTTGGGAAGACTGCCTGTAGTGCCTGTCACGCTGAATTCTTCGGAGTGTTTAGACAGGATCGTGGCTGGGATTGGCTTTGGGATGAGCTGGGCCAAGTGTAGGGTCTAGGGTCGCACACGGCCGGCCAGGTCAATCAATGGGTCCGATGAGTCCAAACTGGCACCAACTGCAGCAGACACGCCAGACCCAAGGAACAAGACATGTGCAGCAAGCTATTCATCAACCACAAGCAATCCAATTCTAGTGGCATATCACAAGCAATCAGCTTCCTACGGTCACCTGGGCCATTGCGCGCCGGTATTGGCGGAGAGTGACACTCATAGGGTACCAGGGCTTTAGGGCCACAGGAGTTATAGAGCGCAGGGCTTCGGATTCGGGAGGTAGGGGGTCTTCGGAAGCTTTGAGGATCATAGTGTCTCGAATCTTCAAATCCAACTTGCCGAGGCTCCTCTCCCGGCGCTGACACACCTTTCCACGGCATTGGGTGCAGGAGTTGGGATGCGAGGTTGCGCATTTCGAGCATGGCCATAGTAGTATGAGCCTCATTGTCTCTATTTACTTTGGGGTTTGTACTGAGGTTTCGTCCAAGGGGCAGGGCAGACATGCACAGCCCCTCCCGAAAAGAGGGGCTAGAATCTGCGGCTAGAAGCCTCTGTCTTCAAATCCCGAACCCTGAGCCCTCGGCCAAAACGCCTTACTTCAAAATCCTACTGCATGCGAAGGCCCCCCCACAAAAATCAAGGAATCGGCCCAAGTCCTGTCCTAGAATTCGCGTGTGTTTCTGAGAAATAGCTTTCAGAGGGTATCCAGCCATCTAGCCCATCTGGGACCGCAAAAGCCTAAACCCAAAAACCCTAAAAGCATCTAAAAGCCCTCAAAGCGGCGCTCCTCGAAACCGCGCTCCCCGTCAGCACACGGTGACGAGGCCCACGGGAACAGCCATGACAGCCTGTCAGCGCAAGAAGGGCTCAAGACAAGAGGCCGATGTAAACCTTTGTTTGCAACAGGTCTCCTGGGCTGCTCTGCCTGTCACTGAGGTGGAGGGCTCGTGACTTAACCTTTTTTGCAGCTGGCTTGCGTGAGTCACCCTAAACCCTAAACCCTATCACTACATGGGGGGCTGCGACGGGAGAATGCTTACTCGTTGGTGACTATTTGGGCTCCGAGCTTGCGTTGTCCCACTTGCGCGTGTCATCCTTTGCACTGATGCCTAAACCCTAAACTCCAAGTCGTGATCGAACCCCCTTTTGGAAGCACAGCCCTAAACCCCAAGGCTCTGAATTCCTTGGAGTTGCCTACCGCTAGTCTTGGCCCCTGTAGCAACGGGCCTTCTGCAACTTCACCTGGGGCCCCTATTAAACCTCTCCAAAGCGTCATCAAAACCTGTCGCCCTCGGCACCTTTGTTTCGCTGACTAGGGGCTACAACACGGGGGAACCGAGGTATGTCTGAGGTGTTCTACATACGGCTTGACATTGGCCCAACACGTCCAGCCCATCTTTGGGACCCAAAGTTTTGGGGTTTCAGGGTCCAAGGGACATGCATTTTTCTACCTGCTCAGCGCTGCATCCATTGAGGGACTCGGCTACTGAATGCAGGAGCGTGAAACGAGTGTCTAGCTACTTCACAGAATTTTTCGTTTCAGTTTGACACAAAAAATCATCGATGGTTCATGAAATAGCAGAACCTGCATCGACATTCTTGCAGCCTCTACTAGTGCGCATGGAGCGTCCTAAACCCTGCACCCCTCACTATCGAAAAAAAACAAACTTCGGTGAGATCAGGTGAAACACGGAAATTCCTCGACTACGTAAGCCAGGCTCAGCGCCTAGGCTCTATGAGCTGGAAAGGTTGGCGCAAGCTTCCACTGGCTGAAGCTCCGAGGATTCCTACTATTTGCTTAAAATATGATCGTCCCCATATTACCCTCTATGAGGAAGAATGTTTTGTATTTTTCGGGGGGTTCTTGAGCAATTAGTAGATTCAGGGCTGCAAGGCCTCACAAGGCCTCATCACACACTCTAAGACATCGGTGTGAACACCGACATGAAAACCGCTTGCTTCAACATGCGCCAGGTCACACTAACTACTCGCACTATCCAGCAAGGTCCTACCTACGGTCCGTTCACCATCGCCCTATGCGCCCTCTGCGGCTGCATCCGTCTCAACCTTCTCAGATGCTGCGGAAGACACTTGTGGCGTGCGGGGTTCTTACAAGGGAATGTGCCTTCAGCTTGCACCACTATCCCAAGGCCCACACACCCCTTGAAGCTCTCCACCCCCTAAACGCTGGAATGTGCTGTACAAAAATCTGAAAAGAGCAAGTAGAAGAGAAAAAACAATCACAACGATAAGACACGTACCATGTTTATGAACATGACGTGCCATATGGGGCCACCAGTTCTGCTCACTGTCTATCCGAACCTTAAAACCCCCTAGAAGCCATCACGGAGCTCGCAGAACCTTTACGAACCGTCAAAGCCCTGCCTTCAAAAACCTCAGTCAACCTAGACCCTCACCCTTTTCTGAACAGACCCTATAAACCTGACCCTAAACCCTAAACCCTGAACCCTTTGTAAAAATGCCCGCGACTGACGGGCCTTAGCGCTGAGCGCCGAGGCGAAAGCCCCAGCTGCAGCCAGGGCGGCGTATGCTTGCGGCTTCTGGGGGTCCTGGACCGTTTAGGGTTTAGGGTTTATTGTTTAGGGTATCTCCCAGGAGTGCCCGCAGTCATTTTCATGGAATCAACTCTGGCGTCCCCATAAAGATGCCAAACGTCATCGATTAGGGTTTAGGGTTTTTTTTTTTGCCACCCGCCTAGCTGACACTCAGGCCACGTTGCAGGGACTAATACCGGTTTAGGGTTTAGGGTTTGGGGTTTAGGGTTCAGCGTTCAGGGTTCAGGGTTTAATTAGGGTTGAGGTGAGGGGGATGAGGGAGGACGAGGGGAGTGAGGGGGTTTGTTCAGAAGCAAAATGCCACTGCTGCACCCCGATTCTCAGTTCAGCCCGGGCTTTATATACGCCTACATCCCTCTCACCCCTTTCGGTTGCTCGGATTTGCTTAAAGGGAAGCCCCCCTCCAAAACAACTGATTCCTAGAGCCACTTGCAGTTCGAATGATCATTTCCAGAACCCGTTGGGGTTCCTTACTTGAAGATTCATGAGTAGCTATAAGTAAGGTTAGAAGTATGGTAATCATCATACACGTTTGCCCCACTTAGGGTGCTTATAACCCTACTTATTCCTACCCATGAACCTCCACAAGGTAAGCGAATCCTAGCTTGCAAACACCCTTAACACTAAACACCCTAATTACACCCTACGCCCTGCACCCTAAACCCTAGACCCTCCCATCCATGCGCAGATCCCAGCGACGAGGCGGTCCTTCGCAAACCCTGGACCGAGAGGGGCAGGAAGTTCCAGCTCATGCACAGCCTGCGTTGAGGGTTTAGGGGTTTAGGGGTTCAGGGGTTGAGGGGCTTAGGGGTTTAGGGGTTTAGGGGTTTAGGGTTTACGGTTTGGAGTTTGGAGTTTTTTTTTAGGGTTTGTTTGTTGCCACCCGTTCCAACGGCTGGACTTTTGTCTGCAATGTTTGGGCGTCCCAGCGGTTGGACTTTGAGTGCAATGCTTGGGGCAAGTTGTGGGCTTCAGGGCCATGGGAACGAATGGGCGCTGGTTGATGCATTGCAAAGCGATCATCCCTAAACCCTTTTTACTGCTAGGACCGCTGCCCTAAACCCTAAACCCTTTTTGCTGCTAGGACTGCTGCCCTAAACCCTAAACCCTAAACCCTAAACCCTGGACCCTAAACCCTAAGCCCTAAACCGCGAACGCCCTTTTGGCATTTGGGAAACCCCGGGAACACTGGGCCCCCTAAACCTTACAAGCCCTAAACCCTTTTGTGACACTAAACCCTATTGGCTGCCCGGCCTCTGCACCCACCTCTGCCCGCAGGCGGGCTGCAAAGGCCCGGCAATCCGGCGCCAGCATGTCGTCCGCTGCATATGCCTCAGTGGACAAACGCACACAAGCGGTCAGGCCTCATGTGGGTGGCGGAACGCATTCAACTGTTTCCAGGACCGGACTTGAGAGGGAGTTTGAGTTTGGGGGTGTGGTGTGGGGAGGAGGGTTCCAAGATGCCTGGTTTGAGAGAATGCAGGGATCTCACTCTGCGCCCGCCCTGGGATGAAGGGAAGCGACCCATCATTCCTTGAAATAAAGCCGAAACCGGGGGGGGGGGGGGGGGGGGGGAAACGGAGAGGGGAATCCTCAAACCCGAACAAGCCCTGGGCCCAATTTACAAAACACGCCCAAGAAACAGAACAACAAACAACTGAAATGAAATGTTTCAGGAGGTGTTGACATATAAGCATCTCTGCTCTGAAGGTACATGCCGAAACCAATCGGTTTCCAAGCTGATCGGGCAACACATGGGAGACACCGTGCACAATGTGGCAGCAGAGGCTCAGGTAGGATTGAATTCATCCTCGAAGCTACAGAAACCCCAAACCCCCCTTGTTTCTAGCAGCTGGGACCCTTTGCTGTCAGGCTGAAAGCACCCTTTTGCAACCCTAAACCCTAAACCCTAAACCCTAAACCCGAAACCCGAAACCCTTAACCCCAGGCCCGCGGCCAAGAAAGTGCGCGGCATGGGCCGCAGGGACTCCGCAAGGAGTGGCGAGGCTTCTCTTGCCTTCTACTTGGAGGTTCGTGGGGTATAGGGTTTAGGGTTTAGGGTTTTTAGGGTTTTTAGGGTTTTTAGGGTTTTTAGGGTTTAGGGGTTTAGGGTTTAGGGTTTAGGGTTTAGGGTGGTTCAGGGCTTAACCCCTTTTCAACGAGGTCTCTCGCAATTTTTCTGGACCCTAAACCTATAGGGTGTAGTTTGTTTAGGACGCACGGATTAATTAGGACTTTTTTTTTGACTGTAGAAGTTAGGACACCATGTAAGAGGGCGACCTGGTCAGGTTCTTATGTTCCGGAGCATACCCTACACCCTGCACCCTTTGTATCACCTGCACGAACCGCGAAACCTAAGACACGAAACTGAGCACATAGAAACCAAGGACTGTGTTGGAGGTGGCGGGGCGAAAGCGTTCCCTCCTCATCACTATACAATGGCTTGCAACTGAAAAGCGTCGGCATGGGTTCATATGGGAGGGCACCTCCCCCAAGTCTATGACACAAGCATCAAAGCGGGGCCCTCTGCTTCATACGGGTCATACGAGTAAGAATGTGACTTTGGAGCCACATCCTTGGATTGAATACCATCCTCTTTTTTGTTGGGTCCTCCTTCCCCATATCACTGTAACTTAGAACCGCGCCCGTTTGTGAGAGGCCAGGTAGGGAATATTCAACAAAGGTTAAACTTTGAACCCCAGCTGCCTTCATCCAGTCTAAGACTTTCGGCTCGTCGTCCTCCTCTTCCTCCTCGTCCTGTGGCCAAAGGCGATCAGGCAGAAGGTGCAGGGGCGAAGTAGTCTTGGCACCAGCTGGGCGAGGCCAAAAAGGCACCCCCCACAGCTGGGGGTCTTTGAGCTCGAGGTTTGCGTTTGGGGGTGAGGGGTGTATATATGCTGTATATTTACTAGATATATATATATAGTATATATGTAATATACTATATGTACTCTATATATATATATATATGTATATATAGGCTTCTGGCTCGAGTTTGAAAGTGTGTCGACGCGCCATGCAGTCGACATGCCATCCTGCCGCGCGCTCTGCGAGTTCACCCACGCGAACAGGCAAACAGCGCCAGCAGTCCGGAGCTAACGGAGTGGTTTAGGGTTAGGGTTTAGGGTTTAGGGTTTAGGGTTTAGGGTTTAGGGTTTAGGGTTTAGGGTTTAGGGTTTAGGGTTTAGGGTTTAGGGTTTATGTCACTCCTAAAAGCTGATAGTCCATGAAACTCCTCCACTCTGCAGCTCAAACGCCCGCGACCCTTTTATAAACCCAGGACGCCCGCGACCCTAAATTCAGAACTCCAGCATTGCTGCACAGCACTCCAGGCGCTCCTCATCTTCGGGGATGTCAACTTTCGGGCCGTACACCTTTCGGGAAGGTGGGTTTAGGGTTTAGGGTTTAGGGTTTAGGGTTCAGGGTTCAGGGTTTAGGTGTGTGTCTTTCGGTTCCGGCCTTCCCCTTGGGCTTTCATAGGGAAGGCACCCGCGGGCCTTGTTTCGTTTTCTGGCTGCAAGGGTTCAACTCGAAGTTCGGCGCCTAGGAATCCCTGCAAGGTTTTAAGGTTTTGGGTTTAGGGTTTTGGGGGGTTCGGGTTACACCCCGCGCCCAAGAATACCACATCTGCAAGGGCCACCTCGCTGGCAAAAGCTAGTTCCTCCTGCATCATGAGGTGGAGGTCGTTCGTCTCCTTGAGAGGGGGGGCGGTTTCTTCGGAAACCATGAAACCATCCGAGGTTCGGGCTTGTTGCGCGCTGGACCCAGTAGCTCTGAAGCTTAAACTAAGCAGAGACAAGCCCAGGAAACCCCAAGCTCGTGTGGTCAACAGGTCTGATCGCCTGGCAGCACATCCCAGCTGTCCGCTGATGTCCACTCTACATAGCCTTGCAGTACATGAGGTTTCCCAAAATAAGGGGCCCTGAATAAAAAAAACCCAAATAGTATGGTTTCCGTACAATAAGGACCACAACAAGGTACCCCCCTAATCCCACAGGAGTTTCGGTCCCTCACAACTCGGACACTAGCCTCCCTAAACCCTAAACCCTAACACAAAGAAGCACAGGGAACCCATCACCATCCTCGAAGTTGAGCATGGATTGGCTGGTCGGCCTGGAGCAAGGCATGTACGGGACTTCAGCTTCAGTGCATTTTTTTTTGGCGACTCCCGTGGCTAGGGGTCGTAAAGAGCTTCGGGTTAGAGGATTTCGGGTGGGCAATTTGCGCTGCAGTTGCCGCTCAAACTTGTGTGCTGCGATTCCTCATCAGACAGCACGTCCGCACAACGTCTTGCATGCAAGCCGAACTCTCCGCGTTCCACGCGGCCTCACATCCAGCCACGGATAGAAGAGCACCTGCGGTAGCAGAGTGGCCCTGCTCTCATGCGTACCAGGGACCATGGAGTCGCGAGCAGAGAACAAGAGGCAGAACAACTACGGCGCCAGGACGTAAGCGGTTTCGAGTTTAGGGTTTATGTATATATATATATATATGTATGTATATGTATATGCATGTATATATATATATATATTATATATGCATGCCCTTTCCACGCCCACCCACCTGCAGAGCTATTCTAGGTCCATCCACAGCTGCCCGCAGCGCGCAGGCCTCAGCCAGGAGGCTGCCCGGATATGCCAATGACCAAAACACTCCTAGACGGCACCGAAACCTTTCAAACCGTCAACATGTCGCCATGCCGCTATGCCATGCAGACGCGATGTATCTTGCAAGGGGCCTTTGTGGCTGGGCTAAGGGCCGGTGCTGGGTTTCGGGCTTGGGCGGGCCTTGCGATCATAGCCGGGCTTGGGATCTCCTACGCCCTGCCCTAACCTGCCATCAAGCAGCTGCCGCAAGTCCTCCCCCAGCTGCGTCGCCCGCAAGGGCCAAGAAGGGAGGCGCGTAGCCCAGGCCGCCTTCGAGGGCGTCTGTGCTGGGATCAAACTCTCCGTCATGAATGACAGACTTAATTACTGTGAAGGATTGGGATGTTCCCCCGTATACTAACAGTCCTTAGTAGGGATTATAGTAGGGGGGTACCATAATCCCTATTAAGGACTGGAAAGTTCTTGCCTTCGGCGACCCAACAGATCGCCCCGAAGGAGTCATTGAAGGCTCCCGGGAAGCGCACTTCAGGCGGTTGCCGGTACGCTACCGACACAACCTGGGCTTAGAACCAGTTGTGGGTGTCGAGGTTCCGCACTGACCTAAGAAAAACGAACCCTGTTGGGCTTCTAAGGGAGCCTATCACCCCCTTTAAAAAAAGGGAACTCGCACTCCCACCAATCCTGTGCATAAACTTCAGGTTCATTCTGACAAGCAGCCGAGGCCCGGGACAGAACAGCCAATGATTCGCACATCCATGCATGAGTATCCAGATCGCCAGCGACGTAGCTCTCACCATGGAAGAAAACCTTGCTCAAGGCTCAGACATTCAGACATATAATATGACAATATAGTGGCTTGCACTCCTTCTAATAAGGACGACCATGAAAAGCCCGGCACTGCAGCAAAGCATAGGGATATATAGAGCTTTCGCAGAGCTCCGTCAGACGACTCACTCGCACATGCTAGAACGTGCTATGACTGGAATCCTACTTCGTTACAGCAGCTACCCCAAACACACCACGTAAGCCCGTCCTTCTACCAGTCGTGCAGCCCACCCCTTCTAAGCCTTGCGCGCGCACTCTGTACCCAAACCGCTTGCCTCCCAGACGTCTCCAAGCCCCAAGTGCAGCCTGGACACTATCACTGGTGGTTCGCTGAGCCCCTGGGGGGTGAATCGGCGAAGAGACAGCTGAATCTCGCCTTCCTCTTCCTCGCCGGTCCTGTCTCAGTCGGCTGCAGCCAGGTGGTCTGCAGGATCCATGCACAGGGAAAATAACGAACCTTTGTAGCTGAGAGTCTGGGAAAGAGAAAAAGAGAGAGAGAGAGAGAGAGAGACAGAGACAGAGAGAGAGAGAGAGCGAGCGAGCGAGAGAGAGAGAGAGAGAGGGCGAGAGCGAGAGAGCGAGAGCGAGAGAGAGCGAGAGAGAGAGAGAGAGAGCGAGCGAGAGACACACAAAAAAAGTGGCCGCGCTCATCGACCTGTCGGCCCTAATCTCCTCTCCAGCACAATCCCGCCGACTTTGGATTTGGATCTCTCTGTGTCTCTGCGTTTTGGTTTTTGAGGTTTGAAGCTGTGGTTTCGGCAGTGTCCCTGCTATCGTATAGCAGCGGGACAAAGTCGAAGCAACACCGCATCAGGGTGCATTTCCGCCACGCCCTACCCCCCAAACACCAGGACCTTACACCACCACTCTATGCCCAAAAAACATCACTTAAACAAAAGGCCCTGGAAGCCTGACCCCCCATCCTGAACAACCACTTCCAACCCGAGGCTCCACAGTCAGTCCTCTTAGGGTTTAGGGTTTAGGGTTTAGGGTTTAGGGTGCTTAAGCCTCAGACCTTCACCCCAAGACCATAGCACTAAACCCTAGTGCTGAACCCCAACAACATCAGAGACCCAAAAGACAGGGGCCCGAATCGTGAAGCCCTGGCTTGACAAGCGTCGCTGGCCGGGTCATCTGCCTCACTTGGCGCGGATTCCGGTGGGGGATGAGGGGGGTCCCATATATATATATATATATATATATGAGTCCCATATATATATATACATATATATATATATATGAGTCCCATTCCAGGCCTTGGGCTGTTGCGTGAAGGCCTTTTCACTTGTTGCGCAAGCGGGGCCCTGCTCAAGCCGATGCTGACGTGAGGTTTTCATCTCTGGTCCCCTCCCTCCCACGATCCGCGCAACTCTCACACATTGGATGCTGCGCAGCTGCAAGTCATCCACTGCCACACGCTGCCTGTGCGTTCTAGGCTGTTGGGGACTTTGATCCAGTGCGTTCTAAAAAGTGGCATCTCCCGGACCCCTCCACTTCCATGGCACTTCTCCGTGGTCATGACCCTCGTCAAAAATTCAGGCATGAAATTTCTCAGCAGACCCTGAACCCTTTTTTTAACACGGACCTCTGAAGCCTGTCCCTGAACCCTAAACCCTAAACCTTCTCTCTCTCGCTCTCTCTCTCAGGCATTCGAAGCCCTAAACCCTAAACCCTTTTTGCTTCAGGGCTCCTGTGGCAAACCCTATAATTAAACCCTAAACCTAAACCCTGAACTAGGCCGCAAAGCAGAGCCCCACACATCCCTGGAGCCGAACCCGAGGAGCCGAAGTCCAGAATGCTCAGCCAGACCCTTCAAAAAACACTCAGGGTTTAGGGTTTAGGGTTCTTTTGGTTTTGGGGGGGGTTAGGGGGGGGGGGGGGGGGGGGGGGGGGCTTCGCAGCCTGGCTGACTTGGAAGCTAACATCTCATCCCTGGAGTTCCACGTCCTTGTTCTGCCCCTTTGGCCCAAAACCGCCCAGCAGCCCCGCGCAACACCCCCCCCCCCCCAACCCCCCCAAGACCAAAAGAACCCTAAACCCTAACACCCTAAAAACCCCTCGGCCTGTGTACAGGCGAGCTGGGAGTAATGTTGCTGAGCGCGGCATCCCGGAAGTCCTGCAGGCAGGCGTTTGAGGGATCTCAGGGCTTCTGCTGCATGAAGACCGGCTGTGGACCGCGAAAAGCGCGGAACCATGATACGAGCGTCTTCATAAAGAACCTTCCCTGGCGAACTGCGAACGCGTGCTGTTGTTGACAAAGGGTCGAATAAACATAGAACTGGCCGACACTCACCATATCCTCTGCCGACATTTTGCCAAACTGCGCATACGATGCATTGTATGCATCCGACCCATAGGTCGTCATTGGGCACACAGGAGGCATGCCGATTGCAAAGGCTAGCTAGCACCCAAGCGAGCCGTCATGACTCTTCATGAACTCCTGATCCTGAAACTGTTTGGAACACTTTGGAACCATTACGATGTAAATCTGACACAGATATATGATGGCGTGATGGATGAACCTCGTCCTGTCCCAACACGGCCGAGCCGAACCTAAAGGACTCCGTGCAATGTGTCCTGCCGGACGTTGGCCACCTGAACTTTCCATCGGGTGAGAGGATGACGTTGCTTGGTTGGTGTCTAGCATGCGCACCTCTACCGCGGGACCTGCGCGCCCTTGCAAGTTTTCTTCTTCTCACCTCAAACCTCGCAATAAAGCCCGAGAGCATCACAGAGCCATCCCCTGCCCCCACTTCAGCTGCTCTCCGTGAAGCCACTAGAAATCGACTTTACTTTGGAGCTCGTAGAGAAGTGATGCATGGAGCACTTGATGTCCTTTATGGACCTATGCGTGAAGAATGAGGGGTTCCCTCCTTCTTAAAACCTACAGCTTGCATGACCAGGCTGCGCGTTCTTCCAGCGGCATCCGGCTTAGCTGCAGTCGTCTCAGCGCCTGTCGCGCGATCGATCCTCCAGCCTGCATCGCGTAGGGCTTGCTACATCTAAGCCTACATGGGGGTGGCCTAAAATAGGGGGTACCTTATTGGGGTCCTTATGATAAGGGAACCCTACTATTAGGGGTCTATATTTGGGGTCCCCTATTTTCGTAAACTACCACATATCAAAGTGCTCCAGCTGCAAGATTGCAAGTGCAACCCGTGCAGACAGAGGCCGGCTGTCTATGCTGTTACGCAGGGGTTGCAGGACGTGCACTCAAGCAGAACGCTCCAAAGTCTGTGATCCGCCTGCACTTGCACTTGAAGGGTGTGGGGGTCTAGGGGTTTAAGGGTTGAAGGGTTGTGGCTTTAAGACTTTTGGGTAGGTGCTCGTTCTGTTTCACAGTCCGAGGCTCCCCCAGCTTGGAATGCTGCCCTTTATGACCTTTGTAGTAAGAGCCTTGTAGCTCGGAAGATGTGTATGGGCTTAAACCCTAAACCCTAAAACCTAAACCCAAAACCTTAAGAAGAGGAACAGCTGCTGGGTTCCCAACTCCCAGCATTGCTGGCAACGTTTAGAACAAATGGTCCCCTGAAGACCTCCAGCTGGCGGAGTATTCGCTCCGTTTTCCGCTTGGCCTCAGGGACATGCAGGCGTAGAACGCAGATGGGGGAGGGTATGGTGCAGGGTGTAGGGTGTAGGGTGTAGGGTGTAGGGTGTAGGGTGTAGGGTGTAGGGTGTAGGGTGTCGGGTTTAGGGTTTAGGGTTTAGGGTTTAGGGTTTAGGGTTTAGGCTTTAGGGTTTAGGGTTTAGGGTTTAGGGTTTAGGGGAGTTCCGGGGGCCCTGCTTCAAAAACCCAAGAACTCATGTCCAGAGCGCAAGATCTGTGCCATGTCCAGACTGTACAGCACCCTCAGGCCAGCCCCTCTGTTCTATCAGGACTCTCACCCTACAGCCCCCAAACTTACCCTAAACCCTAAACCCTAAACCCTAAACTCTAAGCCCTAAACCCTCTTTGAACCCCAAACCCGAGCAACCCAAACCCTGAACCCCAAACCCTAAGCCCGAAACCCTCTTTGAGCCCCAAACCCCAGCAACCCTGAAACCCTAAACCCGAAACCCAAAACTCCAAACCCCAAACCCTAAACCCTGAAACCCTGAAACCCAACCCTGGAACCCTGGAACCCTGGAACCCAAGAACCCTGAAACCCAAGAACCCTGAAACCCAAGAACCTTGAAACCCTGAAACCCTGAAACCCTAAACCCAACAACCCTGAAACCTTGAAACCCTGAAACCCTGAAACCCTGAAACCCAAGAACCCTGAAACCCTGAAACCCTGAAACCCAAGAACCCTGAAACCCTGAAACCCTGAAACCCAAGAACCCTGAAACCCTGAAACCCTGAAACCCAAGAACCCTGAAACCCTGAAACCCGACCTTGAGGCTCGACTTGTTGGACGCCTGGATGGCTTCCATCTCGGCCTGCGCCGCAGTCATTCCTGGGTGCTCGGACTCTATACTTCGAGAACCATGAACACCTAAGCAAGATCTGCCACCCGTTTGCTACCATTTGCTTAGGAACCCCCCCCCCCTCCCGCCCAAACAAAAAAAACCTATGTGGCCCTAGTTTCGCCTTTGCCCTAAACCGTTTAGGGTTCGGGGAATCAGTCTTGTTCCTCCCATCTCTCCCCCCGCCCCTCAGGAACCATGAAGGAGAGTACCCTCCTGGGCTGCGGGGCTACTTAAGCGAACGCCCCCTGAGAAGAGGGAGCAAGGGCCTTGAGGTCCTGAAGGGCTTCCTATCTGAGCGCGTGCTCCGTTTGACTTGTCCGGTGTGATCCGCCCTTGACCGCAAGAACGCACAGAGCGAACCATGCTTTCAGCGCATGCCCTCTAGGGTGCGCAATAAGAAACAACCTGCAAGTAGAGGCATGAGCAACATCATTCAATCCAAACCAGCTTCACCTCAGAATCTTCCTGGGGGAGAACTGAGGAAGAAAGACTTCTCACGGAGGCTCTCTGCTCAATCTCTTCCTTCTCATCGAGGAGCGCAGTAATCTCCTGCCACGATCACGTCCCGAAGCCGCTTAAATTTGGGAGCTGAAGCTGACACTTTGATTCGCTTAGGCTCGCTCCCCGTCTGGCTGACGGTTTGCCAGGTTTTTTGGCTGGAATGCCCGATGTTGCTCGGGTCAATGTTTCAGTTCTGAAGAGGGCGGGGGTGTCTTATAGGTCTCAGAAGTTGAAACGTTATGCTTTTGAAGGGCTCTGATGGGCATGGACACGCCCTGAACTCAAGGTACAATATCGGGCCTTCTCCACAATTTCGCGCTTGGCTTTGATGTCCTCAAAGGTGGTGGTCATCTCATCGTAGTAACCTTGCTGCACCAAGGGAGTTCCTTAAAGGCTGCATGGCTCGTTGAATATTCGCCTAGGAAATTAGTGATCTCGCGAACCGAAATAAAATCACAAGGACACCGTTAAATTCTAATTGATGACCGAGCGAACAGATGAAACATAGTTTTAACAGCCTCTATAATTACAGTATATGTGGGGCCATGTACTCTCTTTATGTGGATTGTTGACACGCCCGAATGCTCTTTCAATATCTAATGAGGGCGCTGGCCCTTATCAAATATAATATCTTCGCTGGCAGACTTCGTTTCTCTTGTATAGCTCGTACGCGAGAACGCAATTTAAAATGAGTGAGAGTGGACAAAATAACACCCCCCCCCCCCCCCCCCCGAAACCCTATCAGCTACTCAAAAGGGTGCCGATGCCCTTGGTTGTGCCCCAGAACAGAAGACTCAGCATCTTTGCAAAGGGCCCTTAAAGTTTGGGCTTAAGTAGTTTGGCCCAATGCTCACGAAGTAGTCGCCCCTGTGGCTGGACGCGTAGCCTTTCCGTGCAAGCACGTCCATAACCTTGGCTGTCTTGGGCGGATCTCTTTACTCAAAGTCAAGCTGGTGGCTTGGCATTGCAACGAGCTTGGAAGGCTTTGGCAAGCTCAAAAGCAAGAACAAACTCTCGAAGAAAGGCCGGGGAACCTCTCTGTGCCTAGGCTGCTTGGGCATGGCTGTCCAACTTTGGGACCACGGGCCCTTTTGGAGCCCCTCTCAGCCACTCGGGTGGATGGCTGGTGTGCTGCAGCCGCTGCGGCACGCGACGTGCGCACGGAGGAAGCAAAAGGCACCCCGGGTGTCGGGTCTAAGCAAGGATGGGGCTTGGGGTTAGGGTAGGGTTAGGGTAGGGTTAGGGTAGGGTTAGGGTAGGGTTAGGGTAGGGTTGGGTTAGGGTAGGGTTAGGGTAGGGCCCGACTAGCCACAGCACAGCGGCGTTCATGGGTCGGATTTAGGAGAACCGGAAAACCCTCATAGCTCGCGCCTTACTGGGGCTCTGCCTGAGCCATTCACATTGGGACATTGATGGGATAAGAGCGGCCTCCCTCCTAAAACCAGGTTGAGGTGTTAGGGGGTGACTCAAGGGACTCAAGAGTAGCGAGCTTAAGGTTGGGAAACTGCATCTGCACAAAGGGCATCTATCTCCCGATCAACGTGATGGCCCGAAAACATGAGAGGCGGCCTTTGCGGTACGGTGAGCAACAGGGGAAGCGCTCTCCAGATACGACCCCCCCAGGCCTGAAAAACAAACTGCAACCAGGTTTCCAGCCCAAAGCAAGCTCTAGGCACGAAGTGCATGAGCCAAGCAAAGTTGGTACCACAACCTCCAGAACTACCAAAGATACTCAAGCCTCTGCAGCTTGCAGCACCTACCCCCCAGAAACCTCCCGGCCTCACGGACCCCTTGCTCAGGGAAAGGATTTGCACCTGGTCGTCTAAAGGATTGGGGGCTGCTCGGGTTTCGACGCTCACCATGCTGGGGTTTAAGGCTTAGGGGTTCAGAGATGCTGAGTGTTCTGGGCCCCTGCTGGCTTGACCCAAAGCTTCCCTGTTTTGGTAAAAGGTACTGCGTTGGCAGGTAATTTGCACAGTACCCCCTCACCAAAATCCATACGCTAAGCCTGCTAGCAGGGGGAGCATCCAAACTCGCACCCTCAGTCGCGCTGCACCCTATTGCGAAGCATCACATAGGCGTTTCCAAAACTAGGGGCACCTTGTTGGGGTCCGTATTATACGGGACCCTAAACCCTAAACCCTAAACCCTGGGAATCCTACTATTTGTTTTTTTTAGGGTCCCCTATTTTCGTAAACTCCCACACGCTGGCCAAGGCACAATGAGCGAATGCGGGGCAGCTGTTGCTTCCGTCATGGCAGAGTTCCAATCGAACGGCTACTGCTTGTTTAGGGTCTAGGGTCTAGGGTCTAGGGTCTAGGGTCTAGGGTCTAGGGTCTAGGGTCTAGGGTCTAGGGTCTAGGGTCTAGGGTTTAGGGTTTAGGGTTTAGGGTTTAGGGTTTAGGGGCTGGCGTGGCTGTCACGCGCCTGGCTTCTGAATCTAACCATGCTCAGCAACACTGCGCAACGCGTGTCGAGTCGAAAGCCTGCAAACTCCTGACTCATGTCATGCGCTGTTTAGGGTTTAGGGTTGAGGGTTTAGGGTTTAGGGCTGCAGCTCCTGATGAAGAAACTCATTGTGTTTGCTTCGGTGCTTCCAACACAAGCACTCAAGTGATCAGTGTAGGAGGTGTAGGATCCACACAGACGGAGACGTCTTCGGATGCTTCTGCTTGGCATCCCGACTCTAAACCTATAAACCCTAAACCCTCTTCTCCTGAACCCAAAACCCTAAATCAAAACCCTAAACCCTAAACCCTAAACCCTCTTCTCCTGAGCCATGGCCCGCACATGTTCCCGGTCGATGCGCCAGAGGGGCGATCCACGGCCTGCCGCACAAGGGCCGTCCTTTCGTAGCAGGCTTGCAGGGATAGTGGCCTAAGCCTTCTGAACCCCTTAAACCCCTTAAACCCTAAACCCTAAACCCTAGCCCTAAACCCTAAACCCTAAACCCAGAACCCTTTAAACCCTGTTTTTCACTGCAACCAGCCCAAGATTCGCAACTTACCCCTCGTATGAAAACTCGATTCAAGTTTCTTAAAGGATATCTTCAAATTCTATGACACGATGTGCTGAAAATTCAAGTTCGTACATAGTTCACGATGTGTGAGGCAGACACATGTATGTGACACGCGATACTTCACTGCTCTGACCGTGACCCACGGTCGTTTCTAGCCTTTCCTCTCTCCCCTCAAATTCAAGTTCTTAACAGCACCCCAACGGCACTTTCAGCATCGGAAGCATACGTGTGGAGCTCCCCTGAGCTCGGCACCGCTCGGGCAGCGGCGATCATGGCCTGAGCCGCTGGCGGGCTCTTGCTATGACACGTAAACTATGTTCTGAAAATAAGGCCACCCTGTTCATCTCTATATGGATAGCACGTATCCATATCGCGATAATTTAAATGATGTTCCTTAGCAGCAAAACCCGCAAACTTTAAAGCTCTTCGACAGCCCTGCCCCATCACCCGGTCACCCTGCTAAGGCTCTGAGCTGTGTCGTGCACGTAGAAGGGTTGTGAGTTTTTGCATTTTTGTATGGATGTCGACGAAGGCAACAGGTCAGATCTGCAACCCTTTTTCTTTTTTTGCATCCAGGCCTCTAACGGGTACGAGTAGATCTGGAACCAGATCTGAAACCCTAAACCCTAGAAACCCCCTGAACCCTATAAACCCCCTAAACCCTATGAACCCCCTAAACCCTAAACCCTAAACCCTAAACCCTAAACTCTAAACCCTAAGGCGCGCGCCGCAACCTCGTCCACCTGGGGGGGGGGGGGGCATCTCGAGCTTGGAAGCAAGGGCCCCTCTTTGGTCTCCAGGTTTAGGGTTTAGGGTTTAGGGTTTAAGGTTTAGGGTTTAGGGTTTAGGGTTTTTTTTTGCCACTCGCCTAGCTGATACTCAGGCCACATTCCAGGGACCAATACCGGAAACGACCAATGTCCAAAGGAGAAACGAAACGCTTTTTAAAGTTAGCGCAAAAAGGGGGCATCAGTAACTTCAGGGCCAAAGGCCGGAAGAAGCTCAAAGTCAGCACCAAAACCGCCAAAATTCTCAAACCCGGACGTAGTCATGTGACAACCCCCAGGATCCGTCGGAGAAAGGGCTTTAGGACTTCAGGACACCTCAGCTCGGAGGGCCCCATCCCTACCAGACTGGGCACAGGGACGTCCCTCCTGGGAACCTGGACTCCTTCGATCAAGCCCAGCCAGAACCAGCACACAACATTCCAACCCCATTACACAACATTTCAAACCCAAAATCAACCCCAAAGCACTGCAGGGTCCCCGGTCCCCAGGGGGATATCCATCTTCGCAAGGCCCCGAGCCATGCCACCACACCAACCCACACAGCCACGTAGATCCTAACAACTGCAGAAAGCACTTCCTGCCCCGCAATGTTGGCTGAGAAAGTGCCCAAGTCAAGTGAAAGCGCTGGCCAGGACAGCCATGCACTTCTCCACGAGGTCGGGCGAGAAAATGCGGAAGGTGTCACATAAGGAATGGGCAGGGCGCGCTTTCGTGCACGGGCCATCAACAACCCTGCGGGATTTGGGCATGAGGCTGGGAGCGGGTGCTGTGTAAAAGTTGGGGCTGCTGCCGGGGCAAATGCTGGAGGGGTCCGGGCCGCAAAATCAAAACACGAGGTGGAGCACCGGCTGGGGGGACGGGAGATGCCTCTTGGCTGGAAGGCGGGGGCAGTGGCGGCGCATGGGCTGGTGGGGAATGGGCTGGGGGGGCCCTCTTGGCGCTAGATGGAGGTGCTGGCAAGGGGACAAAGGGCGGAGGTGGGCAACAGGCTATCGGCTTGACCCTGGGCGTGGCCAGGGAGGCCGCCAAAAGGAGCAGCAGCCCAAACTCCCAGACCAGCTGCCCCACTCCAGCTCGAAGGTGCACGCTGGGCCCGCCACAAGAGCCTCGCAGTGAGGCTTTGCATGGCGTCGGCCAGGGGTCCAAGCCCACCCAGATTCGATATGCGGCAGGAGAGTGCTCACGCAGGAGGTCGGCGGCTCGTAACCACACGATGTCCTCCTCGTCGGGCTGAATGTTGAGCACCGACCCTGAGGACATGTTGCCGCTGCTGAGAATCAATTCAGCCGCTTCCCAGTCCACAACCTCCGGCGTCCTCATTCTGAGCGGCAAAGGGATGACCCACACCAAGATCGACGAAAGACAAAACACCAAAAGCAACTGCTCGCGGATGCTCATGGTTTCAAGGATTAGAACCTCTTTGACTCAACTCGCAAACTATGATCCGTCAAGTCGCAAACTTTGATCCGTCACGTGTTTCGGCTTGTAGCCATTTGGTTTAGGGTTTAGGGTTTAGGGTTTAGGGTTTAGGGTTTAGGGTTTAGGGTTTAGGGTTTAGGGTTTTAGTTAAGGTAACGACATGAGATAATCATCATCCGGGGTAGATTAGACAAGCTGAACACTGGTGCCCAGCTCATGCTGAGACTTGTCCATGTCGGTCTCAAGACTAAGGCTTCGGTTTCTTCCTAGATTCAAGACCTTCAGATTCAAGGTTCGCGTGATTTGATTCCCCCTCCTCCACCAAAACGCGCAGGTTTCAGCGCACGGGATCGTTTGAGCTTTCGAGCTCAGAGGGTGGCTCAAGACGGGGCAGGGGCTTAGAATTCCTGAGCCCTCAAGCCAGAGGCGCAATCGTGATAACTCCAATTGCAGGCTCTCGACCACGTCCCCATGCCATGTGGAACCACCCCCCCTCCAAAGCTCCTGAAATTCCAAAACCCGAATCAAACCTTCGGCTGTCATGAAAGTGGAGGAAGCCGCACCTCCTCTGCCGGGCCTGCCTCATGCGCGGCCTCAACCACGTGTGCAGCGCAGCAAACAAGACAGTTGTTTGTCGGCTAGGATACCATTCGACCGACAAACCGACTGAGGTGCAGTAACGAACTCACAAAATTGCCGGCGAGATAAGTTGCACTACCAGCTACCAGAGAGGCTGGATGCAAAAAGCATTGACCGTGCGTGTGAGGAGATTGGCTCGCGAGGCGCTCCTACAGGCCCCGTCGCCAAAAACACACACCTGAACAACATGCAGCACTTGAACCTGAAACTGCCACTGGGCATCGCAGCACTCTCGCAACCAACACTACACCAAACTGCGCGGGCATCTGCCGAAAGAACGGAAGCCTGGCAACCGAAAGGCCAAAACCATCCCCCAACGAGCCGACGTCAACTTACAAGCAGGGGAGGGGCCTGCAGCTGCTCCACGGCTCTTTCACCCAAACGCTGCACCTAAGGCTTGAGGGTTTAAGGTTTTGGTTTTTCGGGTGCACAACGCCTTCAGAGCTCCACAGAAGCAGGGAGGCACGTCAGAGCCCTCGGGCTCTCAACCACCTTTTGGAGGATGGAGCGTGAGTAAGGGAATCTTCGTAAGTGGAGCTAGACGAACCCTCTCGGCTACAAAACTTGTACACTACACCCTTTCGTAAGCTGCACCCTTTCTGCTTGGCTGCGATAAATCGACCCCCAAACATCCCCCAAGTCAAGGAACGCCTCAAGTCTCAAGCAACCCCCCCCCAACCCGGCTGCATCACCCTTTTGCAACAAACTTGGAGTAGCGCTGTTGGGTTGCCCGACCCTTCCAGGACTCACGACTTCTTGCCACCGACTTTGTGGGTTCAGGGTCTCTGTTGAAGGGTTGCTCGGCTCCATGAGGGCAAACTGCCTTCCCTGTGGTCCGCGAAAGGGGCGGGATAACCTCAAGGGCTCGGAGAGGAGCTTAAAGGGTGGAGGGAAGCCGTGCCTCTGACATGGCCCCACCCCGGTGTTCTGCCTTGTGGACTTTTCCCACCCTAGAGGTTTCAAGGGCAGAACACGAAAGCAAAGCCTTGAGCCCCCCCAAGTGTCGCCAAACTGCCTCCTAAAACTCCAAGACCCCTGTAGACCCGGACTTGGGGGGCTCGAGGCAGCTGAAGAGCTTGGGTTTTCCAAGCTTTTGATTTTGCCACCCGGCTTTGGGGGCAGAGGATGACATGGTTTCATCTTTGCTGCAAAGAAGACAAGAAAGGCATCCAGCGAAGGGCGGGAGGCCTCGCTGATCTCATAGGCGCTTGCGTCAGGACAGAAACGCAACCGTGAATTAGTGCCTCACTTGGAGGTTCAGGGGGTAGTTATAAGTAGGGTAACAAGTAACCTAAGTGGGGTGATAAGGATAATTGCCATACTCATTAACCCTACTTATAACTACCCATGAACCTCCAAGCAGGGGCAGAAAGGCCAAAGGACAAGCAACAGCGGTTTGCACGGCGATGAAGCATGTATCGGAGCATGGCACCCTAACCCTAAACCCCAATGCCTGGACAGGGTCCCTTGGCGCATGCAGCTTGAAACAGAGCGGCATTTCTGCGCTGCATCGCAAGCAAAACCTGAAACACTGCTTTGGAACATGACCTGGCTTCCCCGAAGCCCGAAAGAAGCATTGCATATTGAAAGCCTTTCAGACTGCACACACGCGACTTGAGATTGTCGGGGCAAGGTTGACAGCCAAGCTTAGAGCGCCTGTGCGCAATACTGTGCATGAGCAGCCGGGGCCCACTCCACAGGTCTCCGTCCCAACGATCACCCTAGTTTCAAGGTTCACTAGATGATGAGCGCGTGCGCATCGCAGCGCGTGTGTTCTCACTTCAGCCAGCACGGGGTGCTTTGGGCGGCTATTCTGCGATCTGCTGTTGCACTGAAAAGAGCAAAGTGCGCAGCACAAGTGCCTTGTTTAGTGTACGTACTGTGAGAAACGACCAGAGCCATCTACACAACATGTACCTGCAAGGGAACTGGGTCGCGTTGTAAAGCTGTTAACGGGTGAGTGCTGGCTAGCAACAAATAATGAATAGATGCCGCAGTACATGGATGCTCGTAGTCAGGAGACATTCCGGTTTTCCGGGAAATCTTAAGTGGGGCCCTAAAGGCTACACTTCAAACTTCAAGTTCATGGTGCCGACCTGTGTCGACAAAACGCGAGACTCACCGCTTCATGCGAATTCTCTAGCCTAGACAATCCCAGTCAAGCCATCGGGCGGCGGCGGCGGCGCATCATCTCGAGAGTTTGCAAGGGGCGACGGGACTCCTGCCTTGGCGTTGGCTTGTTCCTGTTGCTTCCTTCTTGCTCGCCTCTGGCGTTGCCACTCCTGGTCTGGCGGACACCAAAACACAAACCTTGCTGGGCAACGCCTTCTCTTAAGAAGTCTACGGGGAATTTAAGGAATTAAAGGCGAGCCTAGACTCCAAAAACGGGCCGCAGCACGCGCAAAGCACCAGCAGCCCGCTGAGCACTGCAAAGCAGGCCACCACCGGGCCTGGACCCTTCTCGGGGCTTGGGACATCCTCCACGCTGCAGAGCAGCACGAGGACATGCAACTCCTCTTCCAGCTGTCGCACCGTGTCATGAATCGTGCCTGGGCTGATGTCATCGAAGATCGCCTGCTTCTTCAGGGAAGCCCAAATTGGATCCACTTTCTGCCACTGCTCGTACAAGTCTGGCCGCTCTTTGATGATTGCTGGGAGTCCTCCGCCACCATGCCTGAGACGTTCGTGGGCGTCCTCAAACTGTGCCAAAGTTGCATCCAACCCATTGGGCCTTCCAAACTTCTTTGAAAGCAGAACCTCCTTGAAGATCTTCTTGGCAAGGACTGTCTGCCAGCTCGCCACCTGCACACGAGTTCCTGGCCACGTGGGGTGCCTGGCAACCGCCATACGAACATAATCCGCCTGAATGCTGGTCACTTGCACCAAGAGGTCCTCACCCGCAGCAAGGACTGCATCCTCGTCAGCCTCCACGATGGCCGCCTGGAAGGAGTCTAGGCGCCGCTGCAAGTGGGCGCTCTTGTCGAACAGTTCTTGGCTGGGTGGCGGTGGGAGGGACAGGCTTGCAGCACCAAACTTTATGCCCAGAAGGGCACTGTGCATCTCCTCCGTCTTCGCCTGGAGCTCTCTTTCGTATGCGCTGCTGGCACGCAGCAGGAAAGCAGCCGAAGCATCTTCGCTCAAACCCGCCAGCAAGGCGATGTGCTCGATCAGTCGCTGCCAGTCCGTGGTCACCAGAAGCGGCTCCTCGCAACCCACTGTCTGGTTCCTTAGACAAATCTAAGAGAATATGACTGAATATGACCAATCTAAGAGCATCTAAAGAATCTACGGTCATGCTCTCAAGCAATATACATCGAAAATGTTGCTGAAGGCTCCCAGGCTCTCGTAGTGTTGCAACAAGGCTTCTGAGGCCAGGCTCATGTAGGAGACGCCTTCCGCACTCAGCGCCATCCTTGCCAAAAATCCACAGCCCCATAAAGAACACAAGCTCGAGATGGGGCTTGGGATCTCAATTCAAACCTTTCTGCACTGGGGTTTCTTGCCACCGGCCTTGCTGACCCACTTGCAGCCCCTTTAGGCCTGCCCCGTGCGTGCGAGTCGTGCGAGAATCGAAGCCGGGACACGCACAAGACCAAGACAGGACATCTTCGCAAGGTTCGGAAGCTTCGTCAGGATTTTTGGGGTCTAATTACGGGCCATCCGCACTTCCGTGGAGTGATTTCAAGGATTCCAGGTGTCGGAAGGTTTGGCTTTTCAGTGCTTCTCTTGCCACAGAAAAAATCTTTGGCACCCCTGATTCCTCAAAGGTAATCAGGATCAGGATACCCTTTCCTCTGTTGCTACGGGGTACCCTAGGCTTCAAAGCTCTCCAGCGTTTGGGGCAGGGAGATTGAGAGAGGGAGAGAGAGAGAGAGAGACAGAGGGAGAGAGGGAGAGAGAGAGAGAAAAAAAGAGACGAGTGCAAAGACATACCGATTCATGCATACGCATAAACGCATATACATATATACACCAAACATATATACATATATATATATAGATATACCAAACATATCTACATATATATATATACATATATATATATATATACGTATATGATACATATCTACATATATACATATATACATGTATACATATATACATAAATACATACATACATACATACATACATACATACATACATACATACATACATACATACATACATACATACAGGCATATATACATATATACATACAAACATATATACATATATACATATATACATATATACATATATACATATATACATATATACATATATACATATATACATATATACATACATACATACATACATATATACATATATACATATATACATATATACATATACATATATATATACATATATACATGTATATACATATATACCTATATACATATACGTATACACATATACATATATTCATGTGTGTATGTATGTATGTAGGTACGTAGGCAGGTAGGTAGGTAGGTAGGTCTGCGTGTGTGTGTGTGTGTGTATCTATGTCTACGTCTATGTCAATCTATGTATGCAAATTTTCTGTGTGAAAACATACGTATTCCGAAGTTCTGCATGGCATAAGAAAACATCCTACAAAGCCACAAGTTTCTCCAAGACTCATCCTCTTCAATCCCTCCGCACCGGTACCGCCACCAGCCACGGCCAAAGCCTCCTGTTCTACAGGGTTTTTGGCACCCACATAGCTGGACAACCACTCCACAGGATTTCTAGGGTTTAGGGTTTAGGGGAAAGCTCTCGGAAAGGTTTGATCCCTAGTGATTTTGCCATTGAGTTGCTGAAGGGCTCAATAGGATCTCAAAGGCTGGAAGACAGGGCTGCAGGCGGTTGTATAAAATTCCAACCTTACAGTACGTAGGGCTTAGGTGTGGGAAGGGGGAAGCTGCGATCGCTGTCGAGTACATGGCGTCCTGCTCCAGAAGATCGAAAGCGTGTTCGACCAAAGCCAGTGCCCTCACTATGCATACATTGTCTACTGGCTGCAAGGAGGTCCCAGTCTCATTGGCGGAGCCCTGCAGCAACTGCTTCTGCCCTGCATGGAAAGCCCAGCGGGTATGATTGAGCTTGTCCCAATTCTGGCTGGCATGGCCGTAACTGATCAGAGCAGCTTGGAAATACATCATGTCAAAGGCTGCAGATTGATGGTTGGTGACATTTAGGACCTCGAGGGTCGGACAGCCATGCACGGAAGAGAGTAGCTCCATGCAGATGTCCGCGTCAACCTGAGGGAGGGCGAGAGCAGACAGAGAGAGAGAGAGAGAGGGAGAGAGAGAGAAGCAGACGAAGTTTAACAACACATAGATTACACTGTGCACGCACCCCGTGCACAGAATTTGTAGGCAGAAATCAAGCCTCCATTGCGTTTCACCCAAAACCTACACGCCCTAACGCCAAAGGGAGTCCACAGAGGCTCCGGAACCCTCAACCCTAAACATCCTATGTAAAGCCTTTTCCACAGGTTTCCGCATGCCGCCTGGCAAGCCCCAGTGCCCCAGTGGGGGGACCCTAGGATTGGGTCAAGCTTTCTGCAATTCCAGAAGTGGGGGTTTACGATAATTATTCGGGTACCTCATTGGGGTCCATTTTTTTAAAGGGGATCCTACTATTTGGGGATCCCTTATTGGGGGCCCTTATTTTTGTAAACCCCCAAGTGATTTTGAACAGAACTTGACAAAAATGACCCGTCTGAGACCGGCGCCAGAAACTCTTCATTGTAAATTTCCACCTCTGTGACGTCCACCTCAGGGATATCATCTTGATGCACAGTATCTGCGAGCACCGCCTCCATGTGGTCCCAAGCCACATGGAGCTTGATGAGCTGGTCGAGCAACGCCTGTGTAGGAGGCGCGGGAATTCCCAGATCCTTGCTGCCTTGCACCAGTCCCAACAGCCGGTTGCTATTTGTTGACAACATGACGGCCAGGTCGACCTTACTGGCAGCCACCTCGATCCCATGCACCACCTGCATGAAGAACCGGGCAACCTTCTGGCTCGAGACCCGCTGTCGCGCCAGCCCGTACGCCAGTTGCATCCATTCCTGGGCACATCGACCATGCTTATCTTAATTACGTGCCTCACTGTTGATAAAAAAATCTACAAGCAAGGCTACTCAACTGTGCACCAGATTCCTGGCGGGTGGTTGTGGCAAGGTGATCGCACTGGTTTTCGTCGTGAACAAAATGGTCCACAGCCACGGAAATGGCCTCGGAGAGAGGGTCTACCACCGAAGACATTTCGCCACGGAAGCTCTGGGCCACGCGAATGCTCTCCTCAAGCGTGCGTGCGTTTATGATCACTCGGACATTCTGGCGCAGCTGCTGGTAATAGTGCGTCACATCCCGCATCGCATGCATTGTGCACATGTTCCTCAGCCTTGGGATGTTTGCAGCCTCCAGTCCCAAAACCAGTGTCGTGTGCGACGACTCATACAACTCCTCGGCAGTCTTCAGGTTTTGTCGAGCCTTGTCCACCGCAATGCCTGCCGCGATGAAGAGGCTCTCCTTGCAAATCTTTTGAACAAGCATTTCCTGAGACTCAGCGATTTCTGCCGACAGGCTCTGTGAAGAGCTGGCAGCCTGCGCGGCTTCCAGCAGGGAATGAAGAACCTTCTGCGCAGCCTGGAGGATGAGCATGTTCCTGAGGGCCGAGATGGGCCCATTCCAACCGCGAGCTAGTGAGGGCCGAATCCATATCCACATGTACTTAGTCTAGTGTAACGCTGCTCGGTCAGGCAACTTGCAACACCAACTTCTGAGCCTTGAGAAGAAAAGCGTTCCTGAGCATCTCCGACCCTGTTGTGGATCAGAAAACTAAAGCTCAGCTGAGGGCGACCAAGCAGCTGATCAAAAGCGGCTTGCAAGACGCTTTCGGTGGCAGGATGGCTCTCCAGAACCGCGCTGAAGTTTGCCCATAGGTCCTGTGTCCTGGATTCTTGTGCTACAGTACGGCTTGCAACAGTGCAAGCACCGAAGGACCAAAACTCCTAAGTCTCCTAATTCCACGCCCTCTCAGATGCGGGGGTGGAAGGGCCCAGGAGATATCAGCAATCTTGGCAGGCATGGACGAAATACTGGCCCCCCTAACAGTCAGCCTATGTCGTGCTCCAAACAAGAACTGAAAATGTGTTCCCAAGAAGGGCCCCGAGTCAAGGACAGAGCCTCGGTGACCTCGCTGGTCGGGGCAGCTATGATTCCGTGGATGCTGTTGCCCGAGGACAGCGCCTGCAAAGGCTAAAGCTATTGCTATCGCTATTGCTCGCTCTGCTACCATTACTATTACTATATCCACTTCACTCTGTGACTATTGCCAGTACGATTTCGGCCACTATTTTGATGACGAAAAATGATCACCACTAGGAAAGCTACCTGCTCTATATAACCCATTACTCTGCTAGAACTCGTACTCGTACTCGTACTCGACTTGTTGTAGTAGTTGTTGTAGTAGTAGTAGTAGTAGTCGTCGTCGTCGTAGTAGCAGGAGTGGTAGTGGTAGTGGTAGTGGTAGTGGTAGTGGTAGTGGTAGTAGTAGTAGTAGTAGTAGTAGTAGTAGTAGTAGTAGTAGTAGTAGTAGTAGTAGTAGTAGTAGTAGTAGTAGTAGTAGTAGTAGTAGTAGAGAAGTAGTAAAGAAGTAGTAAAGAAGTAGTAAAGTAGTAGTAAAGTAGTAGTAAAGTAGTAGTAAAGTAGTAGTAAAGTAGTAGTTAAGTAGTAGTTAAGTGGTAGTAGTAGTGGTAGTAGTAGTAGTAGTGGTAGCAGTAGTGGTAGTAGTAGTAGTAGTAGTAGTAGTAGTAGTAGGAGTAATAGAAGTAGAAGTAGAAGTAGTGGTAGTGGTAGTGGTAGTAGTAGTAGTAGTAGTAGTAGTAGCACTAGTGGTAGTAGTACAAGTCATAGTAGTAGGAGTAGTAGAAGTAGAAGTAGAAGTAGAAGCAGAAGTAGTGGTAGTAGTAGTAGTAGTAGTAGTGGTAGTAGTAGCAGGAGTAGTAGCAGTAGTAGTAGTAGTAGGAGTAGGAGTAGGAATAGGAGTAGAGTAGGAGTACGAGTAGGAGCAGGAGTAGGAGTGGGCGACTGACTCACCACCACCACAACAAGAACAACTGCTGCTGCAACTACTAGTAGTAGTAGTAGTAGTAGTAGTAGTAGTAGTAGTAGTAGTAGTAGTAGTCGTAGTCGTAGTAGTAGTAGTACTACTACTACTACTACTACTACTACTACTACTACTACTACTACTACTACTACTACTACTACTACTACTACTACTACTACTACTACTACTACTACTACTACTACTACTACTACTACTACTACTACTACTACTACTACTACTACTACTACTACTACTACTACTACTACTACTACTACTATATTAGGGACTTACCAAAGAGACAAGAACTGCATCCGTTGTTGTTGTTGTTGTTGTTGTTGCTGCTGCTGCTGCTGTTGTGGTTGGAGGTGGTGGGGGTGGCGGTGGTGCTGTTGCTCTGCTAGTAGTACACTTGCCCTGCATTGGAAAGAAGGATAATGAGGCGAGTTTTGTTTGACATGTCAGACATGGCTAAAGCCATCCCGTGCTTACAAACAGTCTGGAACTTGTTGCAGCAGGCAGAACTATGCACAGCCTGCCGGAAGGTACAAAGCCGACACCCGAATCGGCCATTATGGGGCAAGTCAAGGGCTTTATTAATGTTGAGACTTAACGCCAACACGTCTGCCTCCAGTGTCCAAGAAAACCTTGCCACGTCTTGATGCAACTTTGCTCGGTTCTCCTCTGCTCTTACACCTGCAGCCACAAACAAGAGCTGCTTCGGCAAGCTTTGTGATAGCTCAAGCAAAAGCCCGGCGCTATGGATGCTCTCCTCCCACTCCTTCTTCGACGGCAAATGCCCCACCACTCGGCCATCCTCACAGATCTCATCCATGGCACACTGAACACAGGATCCCTGGTCAAAGCGAGTGCCGTACGGGCAGATCAGGCAGTGGCCAAGCCACAGCCAGCCTTTGCATGTGCACATCGAGGGCAAAGTGGCGCCTTCATACTCCACACTCTTGCCCTCGGGACATCGGATGCAACTGGAAAGGCCGCGGCGATCCCCGTAAGTGTCACGGGGACATTTCCTGCACTCAACGGCACCAGTACGGTTCATGAAATACCCAAGGGGGCAATCGATGCACCGCGCAAGCCCTTCGATGATGCCGGAGGTGCCCTCAGGGCAAGCCTCACACCTGGGCATTCCGGGTGCACTACTGAAGCTGCCAAGAGGGCAGGGTGAGCAGGCTGTGGCTGATGGGTGGCCAAAGGTTCCGGCTGGACAGTCTGTACAACCAAGTTCGTTGTCCCAAACAGTGCCAGGCGGGCAACGACTGTCCTGATCGGCTGGCACCCAGCCTGCCTGGAGGTCACAAACCCCCGCAGCACAGGGGACACTCTGACTGCTGTTCATCTGGTTCCAACGGATGTCGGAGAGGAAATGGAGACCGCCAGCCGACCTATGTGCAAGGACGGTGAAGGCATCCTCAGCCGAGCCTGTTACCTGTCGCAGCAAGATGATGCCCTCCCTGTCTCCATGCGAGGGTGGGTTCGCGACAGGTTCGATGGCATTGAACTGCCGGACCCTGCCGGTCAAACCCATGAAATCTTGCTGCAGGGAAAGATTGTACAAAGCCTCCCGGGAGTAGTCTGTGCCCAAATCGCTGATTGACTTGTTCTGCTCCACCAAGTAGGCATGCAAGATGGAAGCGATGAGCCAGAGGCCGTCGTAGAAGTAGCCGGCCCACTGGTGGTTGCAGGCGCCCACGCCGTTGGCGTAGAGCTGGCAGCCAGCCGTATACCTTTCATGGATGTCCGAGAGCAGTCGCCCAGACAAGCCGTGCTTGTCCTGCAAGTTTTTGCTGAGGCTTCACCTAGACCCAGTGAGGCTGGGTTTAGGGTTTAGGGTTTAGGGTTTAGGGTTTAGGGTTTAGGGTTTAGGGTTTAGGGTTTAGGGTTTAGGGTTTAGGGTTTAGGGTTTAGGGTTTAGGGTTTAGGGTTTAGGGTTCCCTGTCCCTCACACCCTTGGCTCCTGCGTGCTTAGCATGGGCCCCCGGTCAGCCGCCACAAGGCCTGACGAGGCCCTTCGCAACTCCTGGCTGCTGCAAGGGCAATCAGGAGTCCTTGGTGCGCAAGGTTTAGGGTTTAGGGTTTAGGGATTTCGGAAAGATGCGAGGGCTCCAACCCTAATGGAGGGCTTGGAAAGTTCAAATGAGAACTGAGGACTGGATAGGGGGTGCGGGAGCGTGAAGCCTGCGACTTGGGCTTGTGTCACATAAATGCATGTGAAGCACTCGGCAAGCAATGGCATGTAGTTCGCATTCCACCATCCTGAAGCGACCATCCAGTTGAAATCTGGCGGCATGATGTCATGCCGAAACGCCTGGCACAACAGAACTGAGCCGAGATCCTCGTACCTTACATGCTCTGCTCTGCGGACAACCAATGCAGACAAGACAGTAACAAGCAAAAAGTGCTCGATAAGCCACGTCTCGAAATGCGCAGTCGCAAAACGAAGGAATCTGATGTTTGGACTGTTGAAGACTTGGCCGCCATCCCGGAACAGTTCGACAATTCTAGCGAAACATTAACCCAAACTCTGCGAAACACTGAGAAACGGTTACAGCCCAGGTGCAGGGCCACGAAATTGATTCGAGAATCCCGTTTCTTCAAGAGCTCGACAGAACTACTTGCGTCGGCGCGGTTGCTGATTTGGCTTGTGAGAAGGATAGTCCATGAATAGCTACCTGTCTGAAGATCGGCCTCCACCAGTTCCAGGAAGCTTTCCTTCATCATGCTGTTGATGCTTCGGTACCCGTACAGCACCCCCACGCGCAGAAAGCCAAGGTATTTCATGAACTCGTAAATCGCGACGACGTTGAAGTGTGTGGAGGGCGCCATGCGGGTGAAGTACGGATACCGGCTTGAGTCGCCTGCCGGAGAAGGGAGGTGAGGAAAGGGGAGGAAGTCTGTTCAGGTTGCTTCGTAGGGTTTAGGGTTTAGGGTTTAGGGTATAGGGTATAGGGTTTAGGGGGTTTGCTTGTTTGGCATGCTTGCTCAGGGCCCACATAGCTTTGTGGACTTCCGAGGTGGCCGGAAGAAAGCCTCGAACACTGCAAACTGCAAGCGTCAATATTCCAACTTATCTGTCAGCTCCCCCGGGGTTTAGGGTTTAGGGTTTAGGGGTTTAGGGGTTTAGGGGTTTACGGTTTACGGTTTTTGGTTTAGGGTTCAGGGCCCCCCCCCCCCCCCCGCCAACATGAATCAAGGAGCTCCTTCCTCCCTCCAGCCCTTCATTCTTATCCTTGAAAAGGCCATGCAGAAAATGCACATAGGGATTGGCTTCTTACACAAACATTCCAAGGAAAGGGGGAAGCCCACAAAATACACCGACAACTGTCAGAAAATGCAAGGAACCCCTCTTGCGCCACAAGAAGGTGTGTAACAGAGAAGCCCAAAACAAAATTCTCTTCGTAGGCCCTTCGTTCTTGGACAGGCTGCACGCCCCACCTACTGCCTGGCTGGGGGCTTGAGGCGATAACCTCTGTTAGGAAGCTTTGGGCACTGCCCTGCATCCCTAACCCTAAACCCTAAACCTCAACCCTCAACCCTAAACCCTACCCTTTTTGCTCCAGACCCTAAACCCTACCCCCAAGGTCTGAACTTGCAGCCCAGTCGCTGAGGGTTGTGGAGACACAGCCCGGTGACACTTGCATTACGTTAAAGAAGCGCAGGGCATCGTTGACGGACTCGCATGCCGCGCTGCATGAGTCCGCCATGATGATGTGCTTCTTCGGTCCTCAGCTTGGCTACACTCCCTATTTAGAACCTCAGGGAGAAGACTTGGAACATGGAGACTATAGCTCAGGGAGATTCTTGTGTTATCTTGGGGCTTCGGGTGTCGGACATACAGACTGTGAAAGGCTTAGAGGTACGTACGCATGACCCGGCAGGGAGGCCCGATGAGAAGGCCGCATATACTGCTGTGGTCGCATCGGGCTTGGTACACTTTGAGTCCACAAGGTGAACCCTGATGCGGTAGCCTGGCAGGAAGTCGCTCATCTCAATATCTTGAGCTGCTAGCTCAAGAGCCGGTTCCACCATGGTCATGAGATCCCCAAGTGCGCCCTGATAGGGCCCTAGGACTGCCACGTTGATGTCCTCCACCATTGGGCGTGCTATGCTGGGGCTGATCGGAATGACGCAGCTGCTATTTGCATATCGGCAGGGCCAGAGAGAGCTGTCGGTGGCCGTGCATGTTTCAGGACATAAAGCCCCAAGTCCGTTCTGAAGCGATAGGAGCGCCAACCACAGGCACCCTCGATGGTTGCGCCATCGCATACTTAACGAGTGAACCAGCTGGGCCATGGGACTGGTTTCGACCAGGACAGGTAGCTTGTTCTCTAAACATCTAGACTTCTTGCACATCACATGATGTCAACAGGTGTTGCGCAGTGCCCGAGAATGAAATAATGATGGCAATTGACGAGCACGGTGCAGGTTTGGGTGGAATCTCTGCAGCTGCGGCGCAGGAATGCAGCTAAACGAACAAGCAAAATCAAAGGAGCAACCTCTCAACCCTAAACCCTAAACCCCCTAGCGCCTGGAGAACAGCCTCGCTTCTTCACAAGCCATGTGTGAAAGCGATTATTTTGATGGCCGGATTTCTTGCAATCCTGAGTCCTGGGGGGGCATGAGAAGGCTTCTGCCAACCTACCGTGGCGGACTGAGCACTACCAAGTGAGAGCAACACAGGGAGAGCAAGAGAGAGAGAGAGAGAGAGAGAGAGAGATTATTATTATTTATAGACGCATGACCAGAAGGTACCCATGAGTGAGGCACCCGTTCCTAATTTGATAAATTAACGTCGGGCCATGACGGAAGACATCGACGTGCCTCGGCAAACCTGCCTTTCAAACCCAGAACGTCTCAGGCCACCACGTAGCCGCGGACCTTTGCATTCAGGGGGGCTTCGCTAGAACTTGGGTTTCTGGCGCGGGCTGACGAAAATTGGGGACCCCGAAAATGGAGCCCCAAAGAGTAGGATTCCCTTGCAATAAGGAGCCCAACAAGGTACCCACGAATTTCGAAAAGTTGGGTTGAGTAAACCAAATACATCCTAAGGTACACAATAAAAATATTAACCATATATTAACCAATAGTTTATGGAGGTGCCAGTCTTCCAGGTCCTGAGGCTGGAAGCCCAGGCCCTGGTTCTAAGCACGGGACATCCAGAAAGTCCTGGCAGCTGTAGGGTTTAGGGTTTAGGGTTTAGGGTTTAGGGTTTAGGGTTTAGGGTTTAGGGTTTAGGGTTTAGGGTTTAGGGTTCAGGGCCATTCAGTTGCATGCACAGCTTGCCTAACCATCCTTGGTAGATCTGTTCCAGTGCGCTTGCTTGGGCCACTTAGACCAAATATACATGAGAACTGTTCTACCCTTTTGGGGAAAGGGCTCGTGCGAATCACAGGCGCCCTCAAAAGGGACCATTAGTTAGAGAACTGCCCACATCATAAGCCGAATCCTAAACCCTAAGCCCTATATAAACCCTAAACCCTAAACCCTAAGCATTGCCACCCTCGAGCCTGCGGCGCGTCCTCTCCGCTCGCGCCGGCGAAGTCGGTCGACCCTTCTGCAGCCTGGAAACTCTCACAAGGGTTTATAGGGGTTTGGGGGGGAGGTTTAGGGGTTTAGGGCTTAGGGGTTTCGGGGTTCAGGGGTTTAGGAGTTTATTGGTTTAGGGTTTGAGGGGTTGGGGTTTAGCTGTTTAAGCGTTTGTTCTTGGCTCGGATGGCCGTTCAAAACCTTCTGCAGATATCCCTAGATATGACCCCTTTTTTTTCCCGGACTGAGCCTCTTAAACCCAAAACCAGGGAAATCCAAAGGCATGCCATGGGACTACCTAGTTGATCAAAGCCAAAGCGGACAGCGGGTGCCCTTCAACTTAAGGCCCACATCCCTCTTCTGATCTTTGCTTCGGGCGACATGCAGGTCTGGCTATGTAGGAGTTCATGCCGACTCAAACATATTACCTTCATTTGTAGAGATCTGCCTCGGTACTGTTCGGCGGTTCGGCCGCTTCTTGCTGAGATTCGGATCTGCTGGCTGAACGTGCCCGGGGGTCCTGCGCGAAAGCGAGCCACTTCTAGAGCTTGGGCTTATCATGTCGGTACCTTGCGAACTGACCTGTGCACAACCCCTCAACCGCTATTCAGGGGCTGCGTGCCACGTGCGGCTTTGTCCTCAGTCGGATCGTCCCCCTGCGCATCGTCTTCGTACTCCTCGCCGCAAGGTTCAGGGCTCGGGGTTCTGGCTCGGACCGTGCTTCACTGAACAGGACATCCAATCCATGGAGCCCATAAACACGCTCGCAGAAAACCCTCGCAGCCTCATCGTCGTACTCATCCTCCTCATCTCCGTCTACCGCCTCGCTGAGTTCCGGCTATACATACCATCGATAATTAGAAGTCTCCCTGCATTTCGGCAAGTCCCCGCTTCTTCATGCAGAAAATGGAAGCTAGTGCCCTTGAGCTAGCTTGAACAGGTCGTAACAGGTCTCAGGAGTCGGGCGCCTTCAGTCAGAAACTCCTCAGAATCCAACTACAATCCCTTAACCTTTCAGAAGTCCCAAAACAGCCCGGAAGCCCCCTTGCTCTCCTCCCCCCAAAATAGCCCTCGGTAGACCCAAACGAAGCCCAAAAACCAACCAAAAACCCTTTGATAGCATCGAGGCCGCCACGAAGTCTTGCAGTCCCGGTGCGCGGGCCGACTCTTCGCGGACGTCGCTCCTGTGGGGCGAGGCCTCGACGGAAGGGTGCCATGTTGCCTCGCACTGTCGTGCCTTGTGCGTTGCGGGCGTGCGTGCATCTCCGCGTGCTTGTCTGCGTACGTCTCTGCGCGCATCTGCGTGTGCAGCTCGTGTGCAAGTCTGTGTGCGGGTCTGTGTGGGCGTCTGTGTGGGTGTCTGTGTGGGTGTCGGTGTGGGCGTCTGTGTGCGTGTCTGTGTGGGTCATGGCTTGTGGGTGTGGGTGTAAGTGCATGTCATTGCTTTTTGCATTCTTGTTTTTTGTTGGGGGGTTGCTTTGGTGCGGTGTCGCTCGCTTGAGGGCTCCGACCTGAGAATGCGGTGCGGTCCTGGACACACACACACACACACACACACCCGCACGCGCGCGCGCTCTTGGCTTCTCACTGACTCGCCCTCTGTTTCGAAGTCGCTGTAGTCGTCATAGTTGGACGCTTCATCTTCACCTTTGCATTGCCCACTTTGGCATTTGGGGGGGCTCATTTGCGTGTACCGCGTTTGTGCACATTCGGGCATGCTAGGGGTTCTTAGGGGTCCAGGGGTGGATTGGCATGCCCTTCAGTACTGTATCATTGAAGATGGCTGCTGTGGGCGAGATCTTGAGGCAGGCCGCCTTTGGCTCTTAATTACAACTTGTGGGACTGACTTAGCGCTGAAGGGTTCTGGAAACTCGGCTGAGGGTATGGGACTTCAGCTTTCTGGGGTGCAAGGTATGAACGCCACTCGAATGCCAACCCTCAACCCTCCGCAACTCTACGAATGTGGCGTGTGATTCAGTATCTTCAGTCTCCTTCCTCTGGGCTGAAGAGGTGCAACTCTAAAGCCGCATCCAGTACGCCGGTGGCTCCAAATCCTCCGAAACCCGAAGGCCAAGCCCTCTCTAGTAGATGTTAGCCCTTGCAAGACAAGCCTCCCCGGAACCACGAGAGTAAGTAAACCCTTTCATTGGAATCCTCTAGCATCCGAATATCTGCCTCGCCTTATATATATATATATATATACATATACATATCAATATGAATATATATATATATATATATATATATATAATGTGTTATGCACACACCTCATGCTGCTGCACAAAGAATCTCACCGGAAGCTTGAGTAGGGCGATTCTTGGTCCCTGATCCCCTACTGCACAAACCCTAAAAACTCCTCAGGACCACATACTCACCCGGGTTTAGGGTTTAGGGTTTAGGTGCCTGAGACGAAACCATGCCATTCACCCGGAACCCGAAACCCAAGACCCCTCAACCCCGAACCACCCCTAAACCCCGGAACCCTCAACTCCTTAGGTTTGTGGTGGGAACTGAGCTCCTGTCTGTAAGCCGCACTCCTGGCCGTGATGCCAACTGGGCTCTGGGAAGCCTGGGCCCAGGTGGCAGACGAAAACCAAACTTTATCGGGGGTTAGAGGGTTTTTACAGGGTTCTGTAGGCTTCTGTAGGGTTTCTATGAAGTTTCCATAGGGCTTCCTTAGGGTTTCTAGGGTGGGAAGGGCTTAAGGCCAGCAAATTCAGTTTAGGGACCCAGAAAGCAAGGGCCCCTGAACTGGCCCAGAAATGCTTTCGCACTTTGGAGCACGCGCGGGGGGGGCCCTGGATTGCTCGGCAGCGACTTCGAGTTCAGGTATCAGTTATTGCGGTTCTCCCGTCATTGGGCCCGTGAGGTTTCTGTCTGCAATATTGGGGGGCTTCCGAAAATAGGGGACCCCCAATTAAGATCCCCAAAGAGTAGGATCCCCTTGAAATAAAGACCCCAATAAGGCACCCCTAATTTCGGAAACCCCCATTTCCGGCTGCCATCATGTGCATGTAGCGGCTACAGCGCTCTTGGCCTAAACCCTCAACCCTAAACCCTAAACCCTAAACCCTATCCAGGAGCTACAGCCCACCTGGCTGCTGGGCTTTTGGGGTCCCAGCCTCGTCGTGCTGCGTGTCGCTCACGCCACGCGAAGCCTGCGGGGGCGTAGGCGCACACACAAACAATTTTATATCTTGACATGCATGTCCATGTATTCTTATATATATATATATATACATATCTATCTGCACATATGTATATATATATATATGTATGTATGCATGTATGTATACGCATGTACAAGTGCATGTCAAGAATACATTGCTCAGGGTGGCTTAGGCTAACACGTCGTGGGTGGGCGCATTACTTCATTCGGGATGTCGTGCTCCGTGCTCCTTACCCCACCTCCTGCTCTTCTCCCTTCTCCCTTCTCCCTAAACCCTAAACTCTTCAAACTGCCCTAAACCCTAAACCCTAAACTCTCCTTCTGCACTTCTCACGCTCCTTCTTTCGCTTTCTTTTTCGGGCACAGCCCCCTGTTCGGCAGTCTCGATCCCTCTCTGCAGAGGGCGAAGCCGTTTGCCAAGCATTTGCGTTTAGGGTTTAGGGCAGTCTCTTTGGTTCGCAGAGCATGGCTCCCCCAGGTTCGTCCCTCAACACCACAGACCCGCTCCCTGACATACTCTCCCCCTAACCCCACCGGCCTGCACCCTGAACCCCTTGGGTTTTGTTGAACCGGGTTTAGGGTTTAGGGTTTAGGTTTTAGGGTTTAGGGTTTAGAGTCCCTATAGAATGTGAACCTATCATGAATACATGAAGTGGGAATTAGTATATTCGGCCAGCCTGGGGGTCCCGGTCCAAGAGCCGGGGCTATGTCTAAACAGATCTATCCTGGGGGGACGGTGAGAACTATCAGCGAGTAACAATTCTAAAAATCGGCTGGCAGGATATTTCCAAAACTTTACTGAAGATTGCTGCAGAGCCGCCAGAGAGCAGGCCAGAACCATTGAACACAAGCCAATGCACACCCTTCTGGCAACAGACCCTCCCCAGACCCCCAGACCCCAGAACACCTTAATTGCAACACCCCTTTTTCCACCCTCCAACTCCCCGGACACGGGGGGGTCATTGTAGACACCCCAATGTTCACAAAACCTGAACCCTAAACCTTCTAAACCTGAACCCTAGCATAGGGGCCTGAATAATTAGAAAAGGGTTTTGGGGGTATACTGACAAAGGGACCAACAAGGGAAGATCATTCGTAATTACTCCCACCCCTTCTTAAACTCCCCGGGCCCCTAAAACCCTGAAACCCTAAACCCTAAACCCTGAACTCTTGCCCACCTCGGAAGGGCTCGGGCTCCGTTCGCCAGGCGAGTTGGCCTGCTTACAGTAGGGTCCTGGGGTTTACGGGACTTAGGGACCGCAGTTGACCTCTTTTTTTTTTTTTGGGGGGGGGGGGGGGGGGGGGGGGGGGGGGGCTAGGGCAGCTAGGGTGACAAAAAACGATGAAATGCGAAAAGTGATGAGGTTTCGGGTGGAAATTCCTTAGAATTCGCACATTTTTTGTGTGCATACTGATGGGGCGGAACCCCCATCTGAGGCTGAAGGCTGACGTTCGAGATGCCTATACTGCTACAACTACTGCGGCGACCGTACGACTACTGCTACTAGTACTCGTACTTAGTACGTAGCACTAGTACTGCTACGAGACGACGACCACCACTGCGGTGCCCCTGCCTCTGCCCCTGCCGCAAGAATGTTGTACTGAAAGCTGAGTTTATGCTTCGGGTTTTGGGGGCTGGGGTTCGGAGGGTGGCAGCCAATTTTCCTCGCTGCGAAAGCTTCTTGCTACTACAAGGTGGCACGTTGCCCCGCGGAATCCATGGAAATCGCACATCAGAAGCCTAATCCAGAGTCCTACAGCGTGGGGCCAGGGTGGATGATGCTGAGATGTCTGAGATCTCCAGTCTCCGCGATGCAGGATGAGTTATGCCGCAGCCCGACTTCAAACTCCAACTGGTCTGCCGCAGTTCCCTTAACCCCACGGATACTGCAGGGCCACTTGCGAGAGCTGCTCGGCGCTGAGGCTACTCATACCGCCATCACGTAAGCTGCAAGGGCGGCTCTCCCTGGCGCGGTGCTTGCTCAACTTATTTCTCCGGTTTAGGGTTTAAAAGTTTAGGGTTTGGTTTACGGTTTTGGGGTATGCGGTATGCAGGTGTTGTCGGGTGCATGCAAGATTTGCCTTGTCTGAGCAGAACCCCGTCACCCCAGCAAACTGCTGCAAGGAAGCGCCATGACATGGGTGCCCCAGTGCACCACACAGGCAACTTCCAGGTTTGAAGAGCACCTGACCCCCAAGGACTACCGAAGAACAACATGTGCCCATGGTCCCGCCGATGCCCTGATGTCCCAGCCTCTCTGCTGGCAGCTGTGCATCTGAGACTGCCTCACCCATCCCGCAGAGCCGCTCATCTTAACACACGAGCTCTGTAGCTCTACGTCCGCAATTGAAGCAATGCATCTACTTAAGGTCTAATCCAGCCTCTCGGTGCGTCCACCACGGTGCTTTACAAGGGCTACAGAGGCACGACGTCGGCAAAATTGGCACCCAAAAAAATAATAACAAGGCCAAGAAGCTGGCTCTGATGCCTGCTCGCCAATGCCTGCCGCGGACAGCTCCTCATCGTCAAAGTGCATGAGCTTCAGCTGCTTCCGAGTGTAGCCTGCCTCCCAGAGCTCCTGGGCGCCGAAGCCGGCCTCCCTTAAGCCCATGGCGCTTAGGGACGTGTAGCGCATCTGCTGGGCCCCAAAGCCGGCGTCCAGAAGCTCAGGGACACTGCAGCCGGCCTCCTCCAGCTGCCAGGCATCGAAGCCCGCAACCTTCAGCTGGGAGGTGCTGAAACCCGCAGCTCGCAGAGAGCCTGGAACTTCGGGCCCCGCGGGCAAGGCCTCGCGCAGCTCTTTGGCGCTGAAGCCCAGGGCCCTCATCTCCCCAAGCTCCACAGAACCGGCCAGGAAGTCCTCAGCCTGGTAGCCGGCCTCGGCCGCGAGAAAGCAGGAAGGGTGCAACGCAGCCGGGCGAGCAAATTGAACGCTTCAGCTGAGAGAAGTTAGCCTGGACATGCAAGACGAGGTGGAACACATCCCACTTCAGTGGCTCCGAAGAAAGGGTGGAGCGCATGCACTTAAGTAGCCTTAGCCCGCGCACGATGTGCGAAATGCTCCAAAACGCATGACCAGGCGGTTTACGAGAATAAGGGACCCCGAGAATAAGAACCCCCCGGTACCCCCTAACTTCGGAAACCCCCACTAAGACTGGAAAGTCCAGCCGCATGCCGCAGCTCGAGCAGCGAGAGGCCAGCTGCGCGCAGGGCGGCCCAAGCGAAGCCCGCCTGACACCCTCACCCAAAAAGGGACTCTCGGAGGAAACCAATTCCAAGGGACCATCATGTGAAGGATAGACATATATGTGTTATACATGTGGGAGCAACTTAGGTGCAAAGGGGCTGTATTATTTTAGGTATATTACCAGGTAGATACACACACACGCACATCTACATCATCTATATGTATCCAATATGCACGGGCTTATGGGGTTGTATGGTTCCGTGGAGATCAGCGCCTGAATCCAGACGCAGACCCCTCCCAGACAACCTCCGGCCTCGCGGAGGTCTCGGGCCCGAAATCCTGCCTGCAACAGCAAGGGGGAGTTGGCTTTGAAAGCTAGAGCCTGGCGAGGTTTAAGGTTTATGGTTCCGGGTTTAGGGGGAGATTTCTGGGCAACCAGTCGTCAGTGATGTCTGCTGGGATGGGGATGTGGTGCCTCCTGATTCCCCATCCACCCGAAAGAAGCCTATTCCATGCAATATGCAGCACAAGTACATGCCCTAAACCCTAAACCCTAAACCCTAGCTGATCTGTCTGTCCACTTCAACTACAGGGCCCTCACAAAACCACTCAGATAAGGGTTTAAGGTTTAGGGGTTCATGGCTTTCCCTCATCCCCCATCCAGAGATACTCCACAACAGCTGTCAACCAGATAAGGGTTCGCGGAGCTTTAGATCTCAGGGGCCTGGAATGACAAGCTTCCCTGTTGAGACCCGTGCAAAACCCGAAGTTGAACCCAATTCTAAAAGGACTACCACCCAAAACCATACCGGCCACCGTAAGCCCTACTGCATACACGGGAAAGCCAACAATAAGTCCTTCCATAGACCCTATAATAAACAACCCCTGCTGCAGAAACAAACCATCACATCCCAAACAAACAGAATACACCTTATATGTAGCCACCTATAATACGGAACTCTCTTCAACCAAGAAACGAAATATAACCAACCAAACTTCACTTAAACCCTAAATAGCACCCCAGAAGCCTGGAGAAGCTCAGTCGGTCCCGCCCCTATGAGCGCGAGGTTTTGCCTTGGAACTTGCAACAGCGGTGGTTTCGACGGGAGGGTGCGGCGGTTTAGAGTTTAACAGTTTAGGGTCTGCTTGCTGCTGAATCTGCCCACCGCCTGTGTTTGAGCTTGAGAGCTTAGGATGATTTCGTGAGCGACCTGATGAATGGTGTGGCTCGGAGCTTGAATCGCGCGAAACATGCCGCCCTGGAGCCTCATTCAGCAATCAGGACATGATAAGTCACGCCAAGACTGGCACCCAGCCCTCCTCCCTGAACCCTAAACCTCAAACCCTCCAAGAACAGAGTCGGGAAGCAGTGAGTAGGGGAAGAGCTTCATGAGCTGCAGCAGAGACTGCCGATAGTCCTCGTCCACCTCAAGTCTTCGAGCCGCTTGGAGAGGCACGTTTGTGCACTTCCGCAACCTTAAGAATATTAGGGTTTACAGGGCTTTACAGCAAGGTTGAGGTGCCTAGCTTGACATTCCATAGTCAAAACCTCTGCATCTCTTCTGCGAGGTCCACATGGATTGGTGGAACTTGCTCTTCCGGCTCCGTCCGCAGCAGCTGCCCTGTCCAGCGAATTAGCGGCGCTAGGAGGTTCAGCGCGTGGCTCTGCGTCCTCGGAGGCGGGACCCATTTGCGACCCTGCACCCAAAGACGTAAACCTCAAGTGAGGTTGGGGCGGGGGTCCCTTTTGGGGTTCTGATGCAGGGGGGTTGACTATATTTGGGGTGGAAAGGAATACGTCGTCGATGTGATTCCCTTTTGTGGCGGGGGGGGGGGGGGGGGGCGGGATTCTACTGTTTGCTTTACACCCCCCCCCCCCCCCCCAAAAAAAAAAAAAACTATGAAAACAAAAGCCTATTCTTCCTGATAAAGGTAATTTAAGCATTGTTATTTTGCACGTAATTAGTGAGTTTTACATGGACAGCAGTGAAGCAAACTTGTCAAGGGCCGACAGTCCTCGCATAACCTTCAAGAATTCGAGGCTGCTAACATCAGCCAAATGTCTCGCTGGTGGGCCTCGAGGCTGGCGTCGAGCCGAACATGCTGGTCACCTCCTGTCAGCTCTTCAGGGCTTAATGTTGCACTGGCTTTAGTTTTATGCGGGTTCATAAGCCATTTTTCGAGCTTTTTCTGCGACATCCGTTTGTTGGGGTGACCCGCTATTATCACAAGTTTTTTGTTCCGGATGTTCGTTCTTTTTAAGGTTTGTGTTCAGGGTGAAGGGCTTACGTTGAGGACCTGAGGCCTTGAGGGCCTGGGGCTCCAGGAATCTTGAAGAGCCAGAGCCCGGAGAATCCAGAAAGCCAAGCCCGGCCAGTTCCATGTAAAGCCTCCAAACCCTGCAGAGCGAGCTTCACAAACACGCACGCATTTATTGAACCCTATGCAGAGGGCAAATCTTCCCTCTAAAGCCACAGCAGAGCCTTGGGTTGAGCCAGTTCGATCACAGATTATCATATTCTGTATATAGTATATGACATCTGTACTTCTTTTATCATATCATATTCTGGGATCCTATTGAGATTTTACGGTCTAGTTTTTTTGCTTTTGCATCGCATGTAGTATGTTATCTGTTATAGTTACTAGAATGCCGTCTACTACATTCGCCTCGGCTTCTGGCCGAGAGGACTTGGCTTTCCTTCGTCTGCGATGCGCACGCTACACCCCCTCGGCCCAGTTTCGAGCCCGCGAGGAGCTCTTCGCAGGTCCACTCCGCAAACAAAGAGACCAAGCTTACAGAAGCACTCAAGGATCAACTACTGTCATCAACCCTTGCACTTTCGCAAATGTGTCTCTGTGTGTGTGTGTGTGTGTCGGATGACTCGCTTCTTGGCGTTTCTGACGCTGGGCCATCCTCTGGGCACAACTGTGCTGCATCAGGTTCAAGAGATCGGGTTCTGAAACATCAGCTTCTTGCCCAGAATTTAGTGGCAGCACCCAATAGGCTTACCAGGATCAAGCACGCCAGATGACGCGGCTTGCATGATGTTCAAAGCTCTCTCTGCCTGCCCGCAGAACCTTTGGAGGTTCCTTGGCATCCTATAGGTTTTAGGGCAGAGCAGCCACTTTAGGGTTGTTTAGTGCTTGGGTTTGACTTGAAGCAAGGCCTTCAGGATTTGGGATGCCGGGCTTTATAGGGCGCGGATGATGTGGGGTTTCCGAACATAGGGGTACCCTTTTGGGGGCTCCTATAATTACATTAGGGGTATCCCTATTTTGGGGACATGCCCATGGAACAGCGGGTGGCGTCCTGGGCGGCCGCGACCGCTGTCCGCATCTCATCGTCGTCGGAGCCTCGAGTGCACAGGAGCAGGCGACTGCAACTCATTGCTAAGTTACCCGGATGAAAGGTAAGGTTCTTGAAGAGCCACTTGTTTAGGGCTCAGCCTTGTCAAAGGCAGGGCCCTATACCCTCAAACCACCCTTTAAATGCAGTCACCTGGGTCCAACTCTTCCGTGGGAAGCCAAAAGTACACCTTTCAGATTCCTTGTGTTTGTACCATGGTCTGGTAGCACCAAAACGGTGAAAAAGGTTACTTCCTCGACCACTACCTGAACCCGGAGGCCTACCCGCTTAGTTGCTGAGTTCACAAGCCCCCAAAAAAGTGTACACTTTGAGTTCTATATGGGAGTAAATAAAGTATCCCAAAAAGTGTAATGTGCATTCATTCTGCTGCTGAACCTAGTACTGCTTGTGTTTGTAGTAGGGGTGCCCCTTTTCGTTGTTTTTTTTTTTTTTTTTTTTGGGGGGGGGGGGGGGGGGGGGGGGGGGGGGGGGTGCCTGAAATGCCTTGGGATGTTTCCCGTTATACTGCCTCGGTCGGCCCTCAGCTGGAGCGGGCCAGGCCCGATCAGCGCAGCAGCCATCGGAATGGGCATGGGATAGAATTCAGGGTTTAGGGTTTAGATCTTCTTCGCAGTGATTTTAGGGGTTTCGCTAGCACACAGGGGCTTAGGGAACTGAACCCTATAATCCCGTTTTTTGGGGGATGAGACTGGCTGTAAGTTTCGGGCTTCCGAGCCAAAAAAAAACCAGACACCTCGCTCAGGCATCGAGAGCCTTGAGACATTTGGAGACACGTCGTGGGTACCCAAGCTGGCTTTTCACTAAGCTCGCTGAGTTTGGAGAGCCTGGATAGACTGTCTGTTTTCGCGTGATGCCCTCTTTCAGGGCCAGGTGGCTGGAGGCGGATCTTGGATGGATCTGAATGCGTTGAGGCAACGCAACCAAGAGAGACCTCCTGACCCAACAGCGTTACACTACTTGATAGGTCAGACTACACCAGCCACACTGTATGCTTCTCAGTCTTTCCAGCAGTGAAACAGACCACCTTGTTAGGCGGCGCAATGTACATTTGCATGCCCATCACCCTTGGCTTCAAGCAACAGAGTCGCACGACAGTGACCCTTCTTCAACTAGAATGCGCCGCTGACTCGGCCCCTTGTGCCACGAAGCCGCTGAGTGATGAGGTGCTTTCAATTCAACACCACCTCACATGACAGCTTCCAACCCTGAACCCTTAACCCCCAACCCACTGGCTTAGTATAGACATTATGTCATGGCCAAAAACAAGCAGCCCTGAGAAAAAAAGCCGTCAGGGAAGATGCTGAAGCCCATCCCAAGGGTTCGCCTCAGCTTGGTGGGTGTGGACAGGACCCTCAGGCCCGCAACGTTGCGTGAGTTTTGGGTTTTTTTGGGGCTATCCTGGTCCGGCTTCTGTTGGCCTTCTGGTCACACATAAGGTATCCTTTGGGTGTTCCATATGGGTGGTTGTCAAAATGATGATCCCTTTTGGGGTACTCTAAATTCTAGGCGCCGAAATCTCATAGGGATCCAAAAAGGGACCATATAATTTTAACAAAAGCAGCCATCTGTCTGTTGCACGTTTCTCAGGAAGGGAAAAAGGCCCGGCATCACTGGCCAATGCACGGAGAGCAATATGGTTGGGAGGAGCCTTCAGGAGATCAGTATCTCAGAAAAGCTCTGCCCCGCACGCCAGGCAACCTAGCAGCAACAGCTCCCTTTTCATACTAAACCACCTTAACCCTCGAATTCAAGTTGCTTGGACCCTCGTCCGTTTGCCGCACGTCCTTCTTCATTTCTTAGCTGTTTGTGAAATTGCTGCCATGGGAGGTTCTCCGGGTTTTAGGCTGGCTATGCCGTGAGGTCCAACTTTGAACATCGGCTAAAGCGGGGTTCTCAATGGCTCATTCAAAAACAACCTTGTACACCAATGGTGACTTGCCAATTTAGCCCTCCCTCTCCCCCGCAATTATGACCCGACCTCCGCCTCATTTTAAAAGCCCAAGTTCATGATGGGACAGCTCCCGGCTGTGCGGATATCGCCCTACTGCTGAAAAGTACAAACCATGTCCCAGCGGATCTGCTACTGCCACCACACCCATAAGCGCAGGCACAAGGCCACTGTCAGCTGTCAGTTGCAGATAGAAGCCAATGCTTGCCGCAGATATATCATGCACGCAACCCTGGACCTACACGACAATGCTTCCCTCAACCGCAAGTACGAAAACCAACTTCCGAACTCGAGCAGCTGCATTTGTTCAGGCTTCGCCCAACATGTGCGGCAAGGAGGCTCCAAGAGGGCCCGAGAAAGTTCTCACGTTGAGAATGTGGAGATGGAGTCCGCAGTGCTCTGCTCGTCGACCACGACTTCAAGTGCTGCTTCTTCGAAGGCAGGCTCTGCTTTGAGTTTGTCTCCGACAGACTGTACTTGCCCCGCGGGCCCATCTGAAAAACGAGAGAGCAAGATGTGCAACCCTGTCCCGATAAGGAAAGGTAGCACAGGAAGCAGGCTCTCATTGCTTGTGTTTATCATACACAGCTGGAAGCTGAACCATTCAACGGACAAGGGTATACAAGCAGGAATCCATAAAACTGCAGAGACGACCACGCGAGAGAGGCGGCTCGTGGTCCACAGCGAGGCATAGTGGAGAAAAAACAGGCTGACCTGCACCCAAGAGAAAGTCAGCAGAATAGGCATGCTGTACTCCATGAAGGTGCGCAGCCTCCAAACCACTCCACCGATTCCTGCCAGCCCTTCAGGGGGTCCAGCAGCCAAGGCCACGATTGCCCGAGACAGGCCAGGCACGCCGGAGAAGCACACCATGCTGATTTTGTATCGGATGGGCAACCAGCCTCTACCGAGGCTTCGTATCACTGTGGGAGCCAGGCCCTGCTTCACTTGCCGGTCAAACAATCGCAGGTGCTCATCTGCCTCCCCATGTGGGTTGCCGTACCACCGCTTCAGCATGCCGAAGATCAGCTCCCGGTCGCAGGGCAAGGTCGCCCCTGTCTGAGGGTGTGTGTGGCCGTTGGAACAGCAGAAGCACTGAGCACGCTGGACGCTAAAGTTGGCCAGCTGATGTGGCAGCTCTTTGAGGTCCTGCATGAGGCCAAGGCCAACGTAGAAGACGACCGGGACAACCAGGGCCAAGGCAGGTGCGAAACCAAAGAAGAGAGTCAGGAGATCCAGGTTGCTGTCTGTGCCAGCCACGTCATGAGCTAGCCAATACCAGTACATGATGATGTGCTCGGTGACGGCGAAAAGGAAGAGGATCAGAGCCATCTTCACGGGCATCACCAGGATAGGCTTCTGATTCCCCGGATCTCTCAGAAATGTGGCCACCTCATACGTACACCAGATTCTAGAAAAGTATCGCGGCGACCATAAAATGGTGAGCTGCCGGGAGCGATCAAGAAAGCCTGCAAGGCCCAGGATGCCTTTTTGCTTTAATTCCTCCACGTGCTGCGCGATGCAAAGCCGATCCAGAAAGATGGTTGGCGGCTTGAAAAGCAAGCTACGCAGGCGCTGCCAGAATAGAAGCACGATCCAGAATGACAGATGCAAGAACAGGAGGAGCCTTACTGTCGGCTGCTCTTCTTCTAGTCCAAGCTGGCAGATGCTTTTCTCGAGGCTACAGGCAAGGACTTGTGGGCAAATGACTTGCAGCATCCACTATACTCCCCTTGGAACAGTCCTCATAAATCATTTCATTCTTATTAGCTAGAAACAACAAGCGTCCCTGAAGCACTTTCGTCCAAGAAGCAGCCACCATTCTATCGCCAGCACGCCGAATGCCTGCAACACCCCGCACGCCAGGCTCGCCAGCAAAGAAGCGGCAGCAGCAGCTCGCGAGTTGTATATAATCCTTGCTCGGGTGGATTGTGAATCGGGTCATGAGTCTATGGAAGACCCGATTATATAGTCCCGATTAAGGACTGTTCGTATAAGGGGGAACATCCCAACCTATGGGGTGTTAAAAACTTCTTCCCACCGTCCCTGGAAGGAGCTGCATTGTTAGGATTTGTTAGGGCTCGCCCAGGCGAATCCCCAAAAAAAAACGCGCCAGAACTTCGCCAAAGATCAGCATGGACACCAGCTTCAGCCACCGAGATGTCCCCCAATCGTGACTAAGAAACTCGTCGTAGTTCTCGGTTGGGCGGCTGAGCTCGTAGTCCGCGTGATCCACATTGAACCTCGGGTTCCAAGATCCCGGCGGTAGTGGGGATGTCTACTGTGAATTCCTTGGTATGTTGAGGTTGTTTAGATGGGGCCTCTAGCATCTACAGAAGAGAGCCTCTCGGCCGAAGAGGTGACTTGTTGCCATTTCAACTTCAGAGAGACATCCCAGGGTCGGGTGGCACGAAATGCTTGGCGAAGCCGCTGAGGCACACAGGCAGGGGCACTCCTCGAAGCAGTTCCGGCTCCAATTCTGTTTGCAACTCTCGGCCCCCACTTCTGTCCATTCCAGCCATCTGCAGTTCGGAGTCAGCGCATGACCAGCAGAAGACCGGGACGTGTCGCAAGGCAAGCAGTCTGTTCGGGCCTCAACCCCTGCAGAAATTCGGAGGTGCGTAACAAGGTTTCTGAAGCCTGAGAGAGGTAGTCGCTATGCCCACCTTCGAGCATGAACCAACAGCCCACATCTGACCCCGCAACGCTGCAAGCACCCTAAATGCCGCAGGGGGTCTCTGGGACCACTAGCTCAGGCGACTTCACGCACGTCGGCCTTGCCAAAGTGTCAAGTTGTTTGCTGGTTAAGTAGGTGTTCTGCCTGCTCATCGCTGGCAGGTGTCGGGGGGCTACGCATGTCAGACTTTATAGGGGTTTCCCGAAATGGTGTGCTTCGTGGGACTGCGTCAGGTGTGCGCCCTTAGTCAGAGACCTCAAAGGCCATTCCTGGCAATCAACCCGACAAACCAGCCCAAACCCCAAACCTTCTTGTCCCTAAGCCCTGACACCGACCCAAGCACCAGAACCCCGATCCCGCCCCAAAGCCAAGAAGGTTCGCTGTTCAGTGTCTCGGAGCCTCAATCTCGGGACGTTCACACTTATGCTAGGAGTCCTTAATCGGGATTCTACTAGGGGGGACTATAATCCCGATTAATGACTCCCCCCTATTAGTATCCCGATGAAGGACTGTTAGTATAGGGGGGAACTTCCCAACCTCAACCCGAATCGAAGGCCCAGGCGCCAAACAACCAAGCCCGTAGCCCCTGCTCCAGTTTGTTTTTGGCCCAAGAGTTTTGAGGTCTGGGTTTGGGGCCCAGGGCTTGCAGAGGTCGCTAAACCCTGAACCCCTAAACCCCTAAACCCCTAAACCCCGAAACCCCTAAACCCCTAAACCCCTAAACCCCTAAACCCCTAAACCCCAAACCCTAAACCCTAAGCCCTAAACCCTTAGCCCCAAACCTCCAGTGCCTCCTGGGTCCGGCGGTGACTGTGGCCATCGTACCATTGAGGAGCTGGGTCCCCGCGCCTGGTTTCTTGGGCGCGTGGGGGGCCCTAAGAGGGTTGAGGGTTTGGTTTAGGGTTTAGGGCTTAGGGCTTGGGATGTTTCCCCTTATACTAGCAGTCCTTAAAGGGATTGTGGTACCCCCAAAAAAATAAACCCCTACTAAGGACTGTTAGTATAAGGGGGAACATCCCAAGCTTGTTCTTGTAACCTAGGAATTTAGGGTTTTAGGGTTGAGGGGTTCTAGGGTTTTGGAGCAAACGGGTTTTGGGTTTTAGGGTTACAGGGTTATCGTAGGTTTCAGGGCCATTAGGGCTTGTATGGGCAGGGCTGATAGGTGTTAGGGGCGGCTTAGGGATTGTAGTTAGGGGTTTAGGGTTTACGTTTTGGCAAGCAGACCAGTTCAGGGTTTGTAGGGTTGGGGGTTGAGGGCCCGCTGCGTCTCTGGACTCTGCAGCCACTTACAGGCTTTTAGGGTTTGGGGACCTGCTACCACCCTAAACCCCGAACGGCGAAGGCCTCCGATTCGGGTTCACTGTGCCCCCTGCGAAACCCCGAACGCTAAACCCGACGTAGCCGCACGCTAGGATGAGGAAGAGCGCATTCGAAGGAGAAGCACTAACAGCCACCAGGCACTGGATCTGCACATAAGGCTTGGCACCTTTTTTGGGAACAACTTTTCCCTGAGGAATTTCATTCATTTAAAAGTGTATATCCACGAAACCTAGTGTAGAACAACCCCCACACAGGCTCGGCTTGGTTTTCGGAAGCAACGTTGATGAGAAAAGGACAGAGTGGGCCCAACGCCTTCCCGAGAGGTTGCAACCATTTGCCAAACCCACGCGCTGCGAAGCCATCCCTAAATCCTGCCTAAACAGCAGCTTGCCCACAAACCCCAAACCCCAAATCCTAAACCCTAAACCCCAAACCCCAAATCCCCAAGCCCAACGGAAAAGCCCCATGGACCATGCGCCAAGGCCCTCGCCTCTCGCGCAGCGAGGCCTTTCCTGAATCCGATAGCCACGAGTACCAACTCTAGGTAGCTAGAAGAAGGAAGCAAGTCAGGTTACGGGTTCGCAGGATTTTGGGGGGGGCAAATGGCTCACGGAGATGGTACGTTTTGAGGGCACGTGGCATTTGGGTGTTATTGTCTGTCTTCTTCCGGATGCTGCCCTCTTCCCACGATCGTGATTCACCCTGTGTTTATACGCAGGAGTGTCATGTTCTGCAACCAACACGTTGGGGTGTTTTGCCCTCCGCATGGAGGTATCACAATACTCAACGTTACCTTGACTACCTCCTCCTCCTCCTCCTCCTCCTCCTCCTCCTCCTCCTCCTCCTCCTCCTCCTCCTCCTCCTCCTCCTCCTCCTTCTGCTTCCCCCCCCCCCCCCCGAATAGAAGCCCCAAACCCCAAACATGGAGGCCAGCGGCTTCGACTGGCAGCAGCCGAAGCCCGTGGAGGTCTCCACCTGAGCATGGACATCTGGGCCTTGAACCCCTCCGAGATATATATTCCCCAAGTAAGATCCTCCTCTGGGGCCCAGGTAAGGGCAACCGTGAAATATCCGGAGGTGGCAAACTTCAAGGCGTTTTGTTTTGCTTTTTCTCCATGCTGAGTCTCAGCTTGATTGGCGCCACGAGCTTTCAGCCGAAGCCAGTCCTGCTTGCTCTCCGGTTTAGGGTTTAGGGCTTCTGCAAGGGTTTAAGGGTTTGGGATTAGGGCCTTCAGTTCCACATTCCCAAACCTGCGCACGCGCATGTCGGAGTCAGATGGCCTGGAGAACAGCTGAGATCGCCACCGTCTGCAAAGAGTGAGTGGGTGGAAGAGTGGCACAAAACTATTGCTGAGCAACAGTGCCCATGTATACAAAGTCTTGACGTGCCACCAACTGTGGCACATCCAAAAGGTCGGATTGGGTACCATAGTACCAACTGAGGCCTGCAGGTATTTTTTTCTAGAGGCGTTTCCTCTCGTGGTACTCCTGGCCGATGAGCACAAGATCTGCTGCAACAAAACTACGCAAGAGGAAACTAGAACGACTAACGTGGCCAGGAGTCTTGCGTGCAGGGTCACGGAGCAATCCTCCTCAGCAGAAGGCTAGACAGCATGCCATCAGGGACAGCATGCTCCAAGATACGAATTACGTGCATCGAATCTCAGATTAGGGCAGCTACACTGCAAGTACCAAGTCTTCCCTTACCGGCTGAGCACAACGTCCCCGGAGACTGCGCGGTGGTCGCTGCCCGCGGCGCGCGGCCAAATCTGGGACTGCACAATGGATTGGCCCACAGAGAAAGGAGTCTTCTGGAAGTAGACGTAGTCCAGTCGCACCGGGTCGTCGTTGATCGTCGAAGGGTCCGGATTGCCGGGGTGAAGCTCGGCCCATGCATCTGTGAAGGTCATTGGGATTTGCCAATGGCGCCCGAAGGCATCAACATGCCCCTGTCTCAAAAGCTGCTGCGAAGGCTGGAAGTAGCCAGTGTTTAAGTCTCCCATGAGGACAATGGGGTACGGGTGTCGGTTCTGCACCTCGCCCAGGGTCTTCGTCACGAAGTCGACCGCTTCTGTAATGACGTAGTCGCCCTGGCAACACAGTGGATGTGTTCCTGACGCAATCAGCGAGTAGCCATCGGACTTGCGTCGCAAGGCTGCCCAGTTGATGGCCCGGCCGGCCGAGAAAGGCACGAGGTCGCTGGCAATGTGCTCCCATTTGTCAGACCTGTACAAGATGTCCGCATCATTAAACTGCTCGGTCGCACCTCCTGTGGCAAACGCCCACACGTTCCCGGACATCTGGTTGAGCCGGTCAAGGATGGCACCCTTCTCGTGCCACATCTCTGGAATAGCTGCGATCTCTGGCTGCATGCGGAGCAGCTCATCCACGACGGGATAGATGCGGCCCGCAAGTGTAAAGACGTAGAGATTCCAAGTCACAAAGCGCGTGGGGGAACCCTGAGAGTTCTGATTCCAGTCGGCCGACACCTCCCTCGCCGGAGCCCCAGCGGCCTCAGTGGGCCAGGCACAAGGGCTGCCGCCCAGGGAGCACCATGCATCGGCCTGGAGGTGGCAATCCCAGATGGGATTTGGACTGTCTGAGTCCTTGGAGCACGCCACGGGCTCCTTCTGCTCTCCACACCACGAAGCACGGGCCAAGTGGAAGTTGGGCTTCTCTGTGCAACTCGGCAACTCAGCAAGGCCGCGTGATGAGCCACGGAGCATGGGCACCGCAGGCACTGAGGGCCCCGCACTCTCTGCGAACGCCTGCGGAGCGAGAAGCACGAACTGCAGGAGGGAGGTCCAGCCCAAGTGCGTCATGGCGAGCATTCACAGGCAATGCTGTGGCCCGGGCCGTGTGGAGGCTAGCAGCGGTCGTTGAGACTTGAGTGGGAGTGCGGCAGGAGATGCAAGCACGGATTCGCCAACTCTCAGCACCTGCTCTCCAGGCTACATCTCCAAAATCTGTAAATCACATAATTATGTCGCTATTCTATGTCCATGCATCACCTACAGCATGCTTGCTTCTTTTGTATGAACTTTTTAGCTGCTCGTGCAGAAAAGCATTCCTACGGCGTACGAGTCTTCTTATTCCCCTCCCCCGGATATTAACCCCCCCCCCCTACCCCCGAATATTGAAATCCCCCAATATACCTTATTATAGCATTATCACCCCCCCCTACCCCCGAATATTGAAATCCCCCAATATGCTTTATTTTAGCTATAATGGGGGGGGGGGGGGGGGGTATTTGATATATAGTGGGGGGTATAATTCTGGCCGCCAGGTCACGATCTCTGCCGTGAGCGCCTCGGGGCTTCGACCCGGCTGGCGCATGGCGCGGCTCAGCGCCTGGACTTCACAGAGCTGCTTCTGTTTAGGGTTTAGGGTTTAGGGTTTAGGGTTTAGGGTTTAGGGTTTAGGGTTTTGGGTTTAGGGTTTAGGGTTTAGGGTTTAGGGTTTAGGGTTTAGGGTTTAGAGTTTAGGGTTTAGGGCTCAGGGCTTTCCTATGAGAAAGATCATTTCTTGTCAGTCGCATGATTCCTATGATGCCGATTATTTTCGCTACAGTCACCAGCGGGACTGCGTCGGCGGGTTTTTTCCGCATCAGCGTCATCCGCATCAGCGTCATGATCACTATCATTGTTGTTCTTCTTGTTGCTGCTATAGCTATGGAGAAGCCTTACGAGTTTAGGGGCGCATGAGGCATCTGGGATTGGTGCCTGGGATTTGGGGTTTTCAACCAAGCCACCCTGCCAGCCCTTCAACCCCAACCCCGAACTTCGGGTTTGGGACTGTCACCAAGATCCCCCCCCCCATATCCTGAAAAAGTAAGCCCAAGACTCAAACCAGGTGAGGGCTCAACCCAATGGAATTCTCAATGTTTTGCCATGTACATAAACTATACTCAAATATAGAATAGGATAACGTCTTCGTGTTTTGAACCAGTTTGAGCATTTCCGTACAAGTCAAAGAAGTTCAAAACAGCCTATGCCTATGAGCTTGTTTTGCATTTTGCACCACCTTGTTTCTTGACGCGAAGGAATGTTTTGTTTGTGTTTCCCAAATGAAGTAATTGCCTTAAGTATCTCTTTTTTCAGCGAATGTTGAAGCGATCTGACTTTTGGCCATGGACGACCTGGATCCTAGATCCAATAACACCCAACACTTCGAAAGCTGTACCTCTACAACACGATGGTGCGAGAGCCCGAATTTTCGAACTACTCTCGCCATGGAACACCCAAAATGACAGCTGCTTTAACAATAATTTTCTGGGGTTTCCCAAAACCCTAAACCCTAAACCCTAAAACCCTAAAACAATCAAACCCTAAAACCCTAAAACCCCAAAACCCTAAGCCTCTTATAAGTCCGTCCCGTGGAGGCCTTGACAAACTCCGCGTCCGAGCCCTGCGCCGTGGCGCCCTGGGGAGCGCGGGAACCTTGGGATGGGCTGATTGTGAGTTTAGGGTTTAGGGTTTAGGGTTTAGGGTTTAGGGCTAGCGTTTAGGGTTCAGGGCTTGGGTTGGGATGTTCCCCTAAAACTAACAGTCCATAGTAGGGACTATGATCGGGGGTACTATATTCCCGATTAAGGACTGTTAGTATCAGGGGGAACATCCCAAGGTTTGGGGTTTAAGGTTTAGGGCTTGTTTTTCTTGCCACCTGCCTAGCATTCTCGCAACCACACCGCGGGGATGCAATCGATCCACACTTTTCCGCAAAACTGGAGAAGGCGTTGGATTCAGATTTTGGGGGTTTTTATGGCTCTTTACAGAGCAGAGAGTTACATGCAATGTTAGCTCGCTCTCTGCGTGGTCTGCCAACTTTATAAGCCGTCGGGCACCTTCATACCAGCTGGCAAGGTTGCCCCTCCCCCCCCCCCCACCCCCCGAAACCTGCAAACGGCCGCTCCCGGCCTTGGTACAGGGCCGACAGGGCCATGTGCTGCGAGGTGTCACTGAAGTCACCTCACCGGTTTGCGGCTTCGCTCTCTCAATCGCTCCCCCTGCTTACCTCCGCCTACCTCCCCTCTCCGGCCCGTTTGGACCCAAGCGATAAAAAGCCCTGAATGCCAACATGTTGAGTCCCAGCTACTTCCCTCACTGCGGCTCGGCGAAACGACGCCAAGGCCCCGCCAGTCCGCCTCGCGCGAGGCCTCGCAAAGTAGCTTTCAACGGCCGGTTTTTCGTGCAGGGTTGCTTGAGGGCATTTCGGGTTTTGGGCGGCAACTGGCGTGATGAGGTGTTGAAACTTTGAAACTTTCTTTCCAGCTGGGGGGGGGGGGGGGGCAGCTTTCATTCAGTACGATATCGTACGATTTGCTTGAGATCATGCCCTTCAAGACATATCGCCTCGTCGAGGTTAGTGTCTGTTTTGAGCTCCTGTAGCCGTAGCTGCTTGCGTTGATGGGGCCTAGCAGCTTGGCAATCAAAGGCCGCCGAGTAGGTTCCTAACGAATCTCTGAAGTGAAAAAGTCGCTCTTGCATGCCTTGTTGACTAGACTCGGCTCCTGTAACGGATAAGTAGAAGTTGGACCGAGCGAAGGCTATCGCGAACGCCCATGCTCCTCAAACCTCTGATCCCTATGCCAGTTTATCGAAAGCCTGCCGCCACAGTGGAAGCTTTTGGTGAGAACACCAGAACTTCGCTGAAATCCAGAAATCGAAGCCTTGCGGCTCCTGAAAGGTTAAAGGGGCTCGAGCTCAAGAGCCCCAAAGCCCAGGATTCGCGTTGCCGGCTTTCAGGAAGCCGACCCCCAAAACATCTGGGGCCTAAAGGCATCTTAAGGGCCTAAAGTTGGGATGTTGCCCTTTATACTAACAGTCCGTAATAGGGACTCCAATAGGGGGTACTATAATCCCTAAACCCTAAATAAACCCTAAACCCTATTAAGGACTGCTAGTAGAAGGGGGAACAGCCCAAGCCTAAAAGTTCTAAAGGCATCTTGCTCTCAAGGGGGCCCCACCACGTGAGCCCGCGGCCCGTGGATGTGCTTGGGGGGGAGGTTTAGGGTTTAGGGTTTAGGGTTTAGGGTTTAGGGTTTAGGGTTTAGGGCTTAGGGTTTAGGGTTTAGGGTTTAGGGGGAGGGCCCCTTACCCAAGCTGGTCCCATGTCCTCCAACAGACTTTTAACCAACCTAATTGCCCCAAAACCTATAAAAAGGGATCAGAAAGCAGAAACTAGAAACCCTAAACCCTAAACCCTGAACCCTATTCCGAAGCCCGAGCACCCGCAAGCCACTGCGCCTCGACCTGCGCGCTGCGGTAGATCTGAAGGAGCTCCCGATCCTGGATCCAGGGTGGCCCCAGAAGGGTTTTGGGGTTTACTGTAGGGTTTAGGGTAAAGGGGCACCCTTCTAATTCCAGGTTTCGTCATGATTAGGTTTATAAGTATGGTAATTATACTTATAACCCTACTTCGGGTACCTATTTGCTTAAGAACCCCCAAAAGAATAAAAATGAAAATAATATAATAAGCCCTGTATTAAACTTATAAGGAAGAGTTTGTTTTTTTTTTTTTTGGGGGGGGGGTTCTTAAGCAATTAGTAACCCAAAAGGGGGAATAGCGACTTTAGAAGGGTGTATGATGGGAGTTAAGAGTCGGGGGACCCTTAGGGATGTAGACCCTCTCAAGAAGGTCCCTGGTTAAGAAGTGTCCCCTTTAAGGTCTAGCCTTATTCGAACACACAAGGGTACCCCTTTTGGGGTTACTTTATATGGGAACCCTGAACCCCGAAAAGGGCAAAAGGGTACCACTGGGCGACCAAGCAGTAGGGCTGAGGCTCGAGTTTTGGGGTTTCGGTTGGTTTGGGAAGCTGAGGGTTCAAACCTCGGAAGCCATCATCAACTAGTAACTTTTTGGGTTTAGGGTTTAGGGTAACTAGCCCCGCACCTGCACCATTTCGGGAACCGGCCAGGCCTTCAAGCGCAAGGTTGATCTCTTGCGGGGCTCAGCGCTGGTGGCCTGGTTCTGGCCGCCTTGCACGATGACAGGGTGCAGGCGTGCTCCCCTAAACCCTAAACCCTAAACCCTAAACCCTAAACCCTAAACCCTAAACCCTAAACCTGAATTTTACGCAAGCCACCGCTGAGCAGAGCACGCCGGGCAACCATGAACCCTATGGCCCTACCATCGGCCTCATCATGTCACTGCACCGCAGGAAGCTTCACCCTTACCAGTCCCTCACCGTCGAGCCCCCACAAGCTCTCCCATGATCTAACTTATATGGGCTCCGACTATCGTATCCATGCGTCTTACAGTTACATAGCGGCTACGCAAAATCGAAAACCATGAGGGACGCGCGCATCGAAATATTCAGCACTGCACTCTCGGGGGTTGCAGGGCTTAGGAAGCCTCACTCTGCCAAGGTGGCGTATAGCCTCCACTTCTCTAGCAGCCGAGGCCCTAAACCCTAAACCCTTAACCCTAAAATACCCTAAACCGCAAACCCCAAACCCTAAACCCTAAACCCTAAACCCTGAGCCCTAAAACCCAAGAAGATGTCCTTCAACTATCGGCTCAGCCGCCTTGGCCACCACCACCCTCCTCTGGCAGAGGCAGGCTGCCAGCAGCAGGGCCTTCTTAACAAGGGTTTAGGGTTGTTAAAACCCTCTGAAAATAATTCCTGAATATGATCCTGTTCACCCAATAAAGGAAAATATAAAATGTCCCAAGGTCCTACCTAGTTTAGTATACATGCTGTGTGTGTATGTATGTATACACAAGAACTGCGTATATTTCCCTTCCGAGAAGTCACGCACACGGATTCAAGGAACCCGAACAAGAACATCCATGCTAATCTTGGTTCACAAGAATGAGATTTACATATAGTGATCTAATCGTGTTTCAGTAGAAACTAAAATGGAGATAAATGAAGTGCAAAAATGACAAAAAAGTAACACAATCAAACAATAGAATCACGTTCTAATGTAATGACGTAGCAAAGTAGTAATGACGTAACAACGCAAGAACGCAACAATGTAATTAAACGATGTAATACTGTACTTTAATGCAGTAATGCAACAATGCAACTGCCTTAGCCGTGTTTCTCGTCCAGCAGCTCTAAAATTCGGAACCAAAATGTCGACTAGATCGACAGCTTGGACCCGCTGGGTCTCTGAGCGCCAATGACCTTGCCAACTGTTGCTGGCGGGATGATCGCACTAAATCGGGAAACCGCGGAATCTTCTGGAGGCGTGCCTTGGGCTATCTCCCCACTTCTGTGTCGAAGGACATCGTCCGAGGAACCTTGTGGCTGCAGCGGAGCCGGGCGTGCCGGTTCAGAAGAGACATTGCTCACAGCACTGCTCAGGCGAACTACGGCTTCGGACAGCGACTGGCTACCCTGCTCGACGCCGCTCATGCGAGCATCAGGGTCGATCGCCAGATCGAAATAGATGAAGCATGCAGTCGCAACACTGAGCAGGCTACCCAGCATGGAAAATATGGCCAGTATGTACGCGATACTATTCGTCGTCAGCCAAAATGTAGAGTACATCTGGAGCATGAAGGACAGCGGGGCTTCGACGAGCCTTTCCTTCTGCAGCAGCCGGAGGAAGTCGTCACTCCGTAAATCGCGCTCAAGGGAGCGACACACAGACCGGTAGATCCTTCGAGGGCCAAGCTGGCAAAGCTCCACCAAGGAGAGGGAGATGATAAAGGCCTGGCAGGCAGCAAAGTTGTAGAAATAAAGGCTCAGGAACTGCCAGAAAAGCAGCAGATCCGAGACGCAGTCGTAAAGCCAGAAGGCGAACTCCCCACGGATCCGCATGCGACTCAGCAGAGGCCACCTGCTGGGGGCCTTGCCTTCTCGCCTGAGCTCCTGATGTGCTTTGCTTACTACAGGTCAGGGTTTCGGATCCTCGGGTGTCGGTCGTAGGGTGTGGGACTCTTAGTTTGTAGGGTCTAGGGGCTTAGGTCACCTCGAGGATGCCTCGCCCCACCGGTCATCCGCCCACAGGACTTCTCAAAACGTTTCAATCCCTTAAGCTCCTGCAAGATGTGTTCTTCTTGGTTACAGATGCACAGTGCCAGGTCAGCAGCTGTGCGGGAACAGCCGCGGCGCCGTGCACATCCCAAGGCGATGTGGAGGCAAAGCTTGGCCAGAGGGGAGATGAGAACCAGTGAAATGGCACCCACCAGGGTCCAAAACAGCCATCCCCTCTTAGAGTCCAAGGCATCTTCATACCCATACCCGTACCTTAGCTGTCCAGTACCTAGGGGTTTTAAAGGTTAACCTTTGAGATAATAAGGGGAATATACTAACCCAAAAAGGTTAAAGGTTACCTACTCTACTACTAAGGTACAAATCGGGGATGTAAGAATAGCTCGACGCCCAAGTGGTGTACTCACCGTTCCGGTTCAGCACGGTCTCAGCGACCCAGGCAGTAGTGCAGTAGTCCTCTATGCTCCCCTTAGAACTGTAATAAAAAATATTTTTACTATCCTCTGGGGTTTTATATAAACAACAATGAAAAATAATTCCCAAAGGGGGATATAGTCCTCCCTCCACCAGGAAGTACAGACCTGGCATTGGCAGAAGCCGCGCAGGTCGGTGCCCAGCAGACTACGCATCCACTCCGACAGGACTCGATAACCTTAGTTGTCCAGTAACCTGGGGGAATTAAAGGTTAGCCTTTGGGATTTTAAAGGGATTGCTACCCCAAAAAAGCCCTAAACCCTAAACCCTAAACCCTAAACCCTACTCTGCTACTAGGTAACAGTGCAGCCGACATCGTGAAGGGAGCTCCCTCACTGCAGAGCCTAAGCCCACGGCATCGATGTCAGGCAGATCGCAAAGTTCAGCCCCATGTTGCATGTGACACCGCATGTCAATGATTTCGGAACCTTCCCCGCAAGGGCCAGGAATCTCCGTGCTATTCTGCAAAGTCGTCCAGAAAAAGGCATCGGACGTGATCGACTCTGCCTCTGTAGAGTTGCACTCGACAAACAGCCCATGCGAGCTGTTTGCACAAAGGTCAACGCGTTGAAGGCCAAGCCCTGTTTCGTTGACTTGCGGTTCGCAGGGCTGGCGCGACACTTCGGCTGCCAGGCGCTCAGACAAAATAGTTAGCTGGTCGCTGCACTGCTGCTCCACATCCCGAATCACCTTGCACCAGCCATCGACCCGACCCTGCAGCTTGCAAAGGTGGAGCTGGGAAGCCAGCAAGTCGTACCCGTACACCTGCCTCGCCTCTGGGAAGAAGTGAAAGTAGGGGTCATGACACGTGGGCCCCGGACCCTCCACCATATATGCCATTTCCCAGGCCATGAAGCCGGAGCAGAGGAACTGAAGCAGCCACAATCCAGCCATCTCAGGCACTGCCGGCGTTTGCTTTCCCAAGCCCAGTCGTGAGCAATGGATAGGGCGGAACCTAAGGAGTCTGAGTGGAGGGGGGGGGGGGGGGGGCAAAGGCAAGGGGGGCGAGGGGAGGGGAGGGTGGAGAGGAAGGCCTTTACCCAAAAGGAGAAAGAAAGCGAAAGAAAGGGATGCACGTGCGGAAGCAAAGCAACAGGTGTGCTGGGCATCTGAGTGGGCTCAGCGGGCTGCGAGCTCGGAAGGCACACATGGCAAAGACCAGTACCAGAAGTGCCATAGACACATACGCTGAAGTGACCAGATGCACGGTGAGCAAAGGGCCCATGGAAAGGATGTCGACCACTGCCGCGCACCAGGTAATCCACCCTTGGGTGGACTGCATAGTCTTCTGCGCGGCGAGATATCGCACGCCCCACGGGAAGTGCTCTTGCAACTCCAAGGATTCTGCTGGTACATTGCGCCGAACTGCCATGGGCGGGGACTCACGAGTTGAGGTCAATCAAAGTGCTCGGCTGTTGTTGGAGCTTCATGGTGTCATGTAGTCGTGTGAAAGGCATATATAAGTTGTCCCTGGTGTATGCCCAAGCTCATCACAAACTGCTTACCTTCCATGAATGGGAGCTGACCATGAGCATCTCACATCCCAGTCCCAAACATCTTAGGGTTTAGGGTTTTAGGGTTTAGGGTTTAGGGTTTAGGGTGCCATCGGCCTCCCTGGGTTCTTGGCCTCCTGAAATTACTACTTCCATCGTTCTACGCGAGAATATTGCGATAGGAAAGCAGAAGAAACCGAGCACTGAAAGCAACCACTGCATCACAGCCACCCCTGTATTCCATTTCAGAAAACCAGCCCCCTAAAACCTGCAGCAGCCGTGCATGGGAGCAACATGGACACGACATTACCTTTCCGAACAGATCAGGCGTAGCGACGTACCTACTGCTTACTAGCCGCACCGGACTTCTCTGCCGTGGACAAGACAGCCATGAGTCGCCGACTTTGCTCCCCTCCCGCTGGTTGCGAGGACAGGAAGCGCGTGGCAAAAGCAAGGGTGTGAACCTCGGGTCGGAAGGGCTCTCAGCCCCGTCAAGGCGTCGTGGCGACAGCGCGACGCCTTTAAAACTCCAACCCTGCCAAGCTCTGAGAGTTTTTTGTCTTCTTTTCGAGCGAGAACCTCTGAACCTATGAAAGCTCCACCACCTTGACAGCCCCTGACAGTTTAGGGTCTGTGCGGCTCCTGAACCCTAAACCCTAAACCCTAAACCCTAAACCCGAAACCCTAAACCCCAAATCCCAGCCACAATCTTCTGCGCGTACGAGGCCAGCCGCGAGAGGTGATGCTCCAACCTTGGCGAGGGCGGCATGCATGCCACCACCCAGGCAGTTGAAGAGCTCCTGCCTCCTTTGGGAGTCTGCTCTATTATACTATTATACTATTATTTTTATTATCACCATTATTATTATTAATCTATATATAGGATTTTACATATGTGTATATGTGTATATATATATATGTAATTTGAAGATTTCCGGTCTGTCGGGCTGCGGCTCAGGGGCTTGTAGAGTTTAGTGGGCCTTCGGGGCTTCAGATGAAGCAGGGAAGTCTGGATTTGGAGGTCTCCGAAATTAGGGGTACCTTATTAGGGTTCTTATGATAAGGGAATTCCTTCTAGTTGGGGGTCTATGTTAGGGGTCCCTTCTTATCGTAAACTCCCATTTGGGGTTTTTAGCTTCACGCCGTTTTGGATTCTAGTCAAGTCGCCTTGCCCTAAGGTCCTGAAGTCAACCCTTCAGGGCTTTGGATTTAGGGCTTAGGGCTTAGGGCTTAGGGTTTAGGGTTTAGGGTTTAGGGTTTAGGGTTTAGGGGGAGTGGGGAAATAGCCATGTAGACCCACTGCATAGTCGAATATATTTTGGGCATGGTCTGGTTTAAAACGGCACGCCACTGGAATGCATCCCAAACGGGACCCTCATTTAGGGGATCCTGCCCCAACCCCAATACCGGACCACTCCCTGCGGTGGAGATGCAACTCAGCCTGGCCCGTAGTGAGGCTGATCTGCTCCTTGTCGCTTGGTTGGCTCTACAAGGTCAGAAGTTTGATACTGGGTTTGATACTGGCAAGCAAGCTCCCGAATCAATGAGGCACTGCATTCAGGGAGCTATTCCGAGTTTTACCATTAGGGATCGGGGCGCATCAGCCGGGTCAGGTCGAGTCTTCATCTGATTTGGGAAATGGAGTCCCTTGAAATCCCCAAATGGGCCCCCTTGCGTGTTCCCTTCAAGCCTTTCCCAACTTCCCAAACTAGCCGACACTACCTGTACCCCCCCCCATAAGACCACAATGAAACTTCATGACACGTTTAAACACTAGCAAGAAAAAGACAAAACAAAAAAAGGTTATGTTTAAAAAAAAATTGGGTCCCCCTTTCTTTGCACCAAGAAACAGGATCCCCCTCACAAGGAACCCCTCTAATCCTCGGAAACCCCACAAAATTTCTGGGGGCCTAAGGGCACCCTCTTCCATGTCCTAAACCCTAAATCCTAAACTAAAAGCTTCCCCCTTCCATGTCCCTGCGCTCCGTACCGGCGCTGGTCTTGAGATGATGCACCAGGAGCAGCCTCGCCCAGCTTCGGGGCTTGGGGGGCTTTAGGATTTGAGGTTTCGGGCTTGCGCCAAGTACAAAGATGTTGTATGTATGTGTTGGCTTGATGTATGCATGTATGTGTGCTTATATGTAAATATATATATATATATATATGTATGCAGATGTGTGTATGTGTGTATGTGTTTTCTGTTCTTTTTTTCTCCTATTCTTGGCGGTGTGGGGGAGGGGAGGCCCCTTGCTCTGGGCTCTCACCTGTGTCCAAAATCCATTTTTTTATAATTTCCTAATTATATACATATATTGTTAGTTTGATGCTGTATTCTTTCGAACGTTCTGTACATTTGTACATATATTATACGTATATTAATTAATGTTAATTATTATAAGCATACATTACCATATAATATATTTAGCAATGGAAAGCATTAATTACTCCTATCGGTGTTTTTTTGGAAAAAAAAAACACCCATAAAAAAAGGGGTTTTCAAAAATTTGATTTAATCAGAGTGAGATCAGACATGTAAAGTTATAACAAAGATATAAGAAACATATAACATACATTTTTGACACAAAAAAACATGAACATTTTAAATATGATTCATAATATTTTGATTTTACAAAAATTGGAAAACATTTTCTAAACATTTTTGACATATTTTTCAAAACTATTTGTTTAAACCAACTCTTTTTTTCGAAACATTCTCATTTTTCGATCTGATGTTCTTTCCCGTGGTAAATAAAAATTACAACTAGTTGTTAATGTATTTTCTTCAGTAATTGGATCATCTGATAATTCTGGTGTTTTTTCAATTGATTTTTCTCAGATTCAGCCGGCAGGCCCTTGGGC